CCCCCCCCCTTCGATTTCTGAAAAAAATCACACCAATGGTCTCCTCTTGAAATTAGAATTTTGACTAGCTGAATTATAGTTGTAAACTGCACCAAATGGCATCTTCACCCTCTAAAATACCAAAAATTTTCGGGGCCAGTGAAGGCCATGCCAAAGAGGGAGGTGTGCTTTGCATCTGCAGACTCCCCCTTCAAATAATCCTGGATCTGCCACTGAATGTGAAATACTAATGCATGGATGTATCTCATGGATTTTCAAATATTTAAGTTTTTGATAATTTTTTCAGGGCATTTTATAGTTGTGGTTGGTTTTAATCTCAAACAGAAATTGATATATTACAAAAATCCTGCATATGACAAAGGTGACTATTACAAAATGAATAGTTTTGTTAAGAATGAAGAAACGGATTCATTTATTCATTGATAATAAAAATAATAACAATTTTAATTTTCATTTTATTATTAAAACAATAATGGCCATTTAAAATAAGTATGTTATTCAAGTAGTAATATAGTTAAAAAGAAATACCCCTCTGGACAGGTAATTTAGAAATAAAGGCACTGTCTGACATTGACAAAGAATGCTTCATAATATTGTAGATTTTGTGTTTTAACTTTGAATTCATGATTTTTTTTCTTTTCAGAAATGTGCTGCTGCACTATGAAAAATTTTGAAAAAGCACGGAAAAGTTATGGGACTGATGAAGATATCATTTTTGTTTACGGACTTGAAAATTCTGTCAGTTGATAAAACTCAAGCCTTATTATTTGCTTTTTATATCTTTTAACAGGTGGTTTTTATAATGTATTATATTCAGCTGTCGTTTGTCGACTTTTAATTAGCCGTTTGTCGACGTATATTCTAACGTTTTCTCGACGGTTTTACAGCGAGTGGAAGTTTTTCATTATCTCTTGTCCCTGTTTCTAAGAAAGACCTTTATTGGTACGCTCGCTCATATATTTGGTCACTGCGCCCATGTCCGAAAAACATTTTTATTTTTCGGGAAAAAAAATGCGGTGATTCAGAATGATCCGCTCCAGGGGAGTCAGATTGCGACTCACTGGCGTAACTGCTATTGAAATCACTATCACTGCTACTAGACTGACTGGAATCCGAGCATTCGGCGCTGGAACGCTCAGAGGACTGAGGACGATTGGATGAAACATGTACCATATCGCCTGTTGTGCTTTTTGCTTTGTGTCTTTTTAAACCTACATCTGCTGATTTCAAACTTGGACATAATTTGTCCATGCTCTACTTCAGACTATAATTAGTCCGAGTCTGCGACCAAGACTGGGATTTTTTAGTATTTTCCGCTTCCGAACAAAAAAAAAACATGCCATTTCTATCACATTTCCCTGTTTTGAGTATCTGGATTGCCAGAAATCCCTCGTGGAACTGTTCAGCGCTTCGTCCCCGACCTGTTCCCCGACCGATGGCGATTTAAACAGTGTGATTTTAAAGATAGATAAATCTGCAAGCAAAAATCCTCTGCGACTGCAAAAATGTCCAGCTGAAAAAAAAAAACACGAGGATGATGCATGTGACGTCATGATGACAGAGAAGTCGAATATCACAGATTTCATTTGACTGATGTTATTGAATTTGCTATATTTTAAGCTGAATAAGAGGCTAATATAATTTTGTATCTCACTTCTGTCGTCTCGTATAATTTACCTTTCACCCGAAATCAGACATTACGTGCTCTCGTAAAATCTTCGATTTTTGTACATTTTACTTTTCTTGCACGAATAACAATATAAATCAATAAAACTTGCATACTTTTCTAGTTTTCCCTACTGAAAAAACTTGTTAACCTATTCCGATATTTATCTGTGAAATTTATAGGGATAGTTTTGGTAGCATATTAGTATTTTACAAGGTTTAAAGCTCTTGTCTAAATTGACTAGCCTGCAAGAAGTCAAATGAATAAAACTACAGCACAGTTGCGGGGGCAACTTAATGTGAGCACACACCGATTGCACTGTGTATGTGTCCTCTACTGTACATTACGGGATCAGTTAACCAAAACTTTTTTAACTAATAAGCGTGTTGTACTAGTACGAATGTAAAACTGCGTAACTGATCGACATTGATAAAAGTTGTGTGGCATACAAATGGGGAAAGCTTTCTCAATTTCTTATATTAATTTTGTGATTCGTGACGATATCATATTAAATTTTTGCATACGGCGGGTTTGGACCAAAAGAAAAAAGAAAAAAATCCTCATCATAACAAGAGTGCATGTGAAGGCACGTAATGGGCGTGTCCGCCGTTTTGTTCAGAGTAATATCTATGCATCATCAGTACTATACCGGTTACAACCTTTCTGCGTAAAAATAGCGCGGCATCGTGTTCAGAATGCCGCTCGCTCAGATCGGCATATTAATCCATATCTGTACAATCCCTATATAACGAAAATCAATAAAAGTAGTCTGAACAATCGCACGAAATGCCTTTATGATACCGAATCTGCGGACTAATATTTTTACACAACATTAAAACCTTTGTGCATCCGTATATATAGGTATTCCGTACAGGGTACACAGAAACTATTTTGTGTCTTGGGCACGCAACCGGGCTGAATGTGATGGTTCATGCATTTCCACCTTATCAGAAAATATGCATGTGGCGAATCTCCAGCGAGAGTAGAATCAACGTGTATCTCAACAAATCGATAGCCTCTGTATCGTTAAGCCTAGTGCACGACATTTTTCCCACTCCATAAAAGGTACCTTGCTTAAAGTGAGTTGGTCTAAAAGCAGACTAACACTGCAATGAAACGCTTCAGATGACAACATGAATGCACATGAACTCGACTGACATAGCTGACAATTGTGGGTGTCGCAGGTAGTTTGTTCCCTGTGCCACAGGTAAGAATAAGCCATATCTTTTCTTGATTGTAAACGGCAAAATGTCTGGATATTTTGTATGGGGTTTGGTGGATGCTCGTCGATAGAAGAACGTTGTGCATCTTACCTGGGGTAATTAATATATTACGTGTTTACTTTAGTATGGTTGTCACCATAGGTTTGCTGAGGTGTGGATTAACCATGTGACCATATACGCTATATATACAGAAGAGTTATATATAAGGCCCTACTTAATTGTACTCTATGTAACAAGACGAAGCGGATTCATATTAGCATATTAGCATCTCTGCATTAAATTTTATAAATCGGTAGCTCTAGGATACAACTCCATGTGGAGTTGACTCCCAAAGGGATTAACAACTTTGTACCGGTATTGATTTTCTGTTTTTCTGATATTTAACTTGCCTAATATGTAGCAATTCCCATCATGCCATACGAGTTACCTGTTTGATAAATCAATTACTTCTATTTCAACAGTCTGTAATTAAACCCAAAAGACAAAAGAATGTCATGCTTGTTTGTTCATGTGATTGGGTGTGGCAATGGCGCCTCTTTATATGGTTGTTTCTGGACAAAATGCCTGGCCACATTTTGTATTTTCGCATTTACAGCGATTCATCAATATGGTTTCAGTGACATTAATACGTGTAGTATGATAGGATAAGCACTCGACAAAAAACACATCGGTCACACTATACTTCGGAAATAATGTTTGTAGGAGCCTCCAGCAAAGGCTTAAAGCTTTGTTTAATATAATATGGTGTGTCGTATTTTGTGTTTGTGTATTAACTGTGCTAGATATGTCTAGCTTTTACTAGATGAAAAGCATTCGCATATCTCTTATAACGGTCGAACTTGGACCCATCCTGGTTCTATGACACACGCCCTTTTTGGACACCCTCCCCGTTTGTTATTTATCTTTCATAATTCCGTAGATGTGATGATATGCCAAACGAAACGATATGCTTTTTGTGAAGTGTCGACGAGCTATGATAGTGAACAAGGGGTGAATTAGTGACAAAGCCCGCCAATTTCCTGCATACACTGACTACCCTTGACATTTTTAACTGGCTTACTTGACCGAAAAATATGTAGTGGTGGACAGAACACCACGGCCACTAAGTCACACACCTAAAGGGTACCCCAAATGAATGAATACAAATGTTATGGAAGGACGTTATATATTTATCGTTCATTGTAGAATAATGCATCGCCATACCTTATCATACCCGTATATAGGGATCCGGTTAACGGCAATTTCGCGAAGTACGTGTGTCATTATTAGCATAAAATGGAGAAAGCGACACTTAAATTACTGCCAACGACATAACGCTTGGTTTGCATGATAAAGGCAAAAGAAAACATTTTTCATATCTTCCGAGACGGCTGACATTGAGATCACAAGTTCATTGAACTTAGACGCAGCATAAGAAAGGGGAGATAAAAAATGCGACTCGAGACGTGACATAAACGTTCCAAGAGAAATTTAAAAAAGAGCACGTTTATTACCCTGTGCTTGAAACGGCGCTTTAGCGTAGAGGTTTGTTTCAAGTTATCTGTGAAGCACAGGGTGACATTTATACTCCTGATGGCCAATAAATAAATAAATAAAATGCAAAAATATGTGGGGTGTAAGAGCTGTGCCTCGCTGAGTGCTGTACGCGCGTAGAAAAGAGATCAATCTAATCGCATATCTTTTTTTACATCTCCAGCATAAGAAAAAAGCGTCAAGTGCAATGAGAAAAAAAAAAGAATGATCCTACGTCACAGAATAGCAGGGAAATCATTTCTTACCTTTAAGCAATTTTTTCAATTTTTTTTTAATCAAAATCATCTAAAAATGGTCCTCCTAAAGTAACCTGTTCTTATAGCAATACATACAGGTATATCATAGCCTTCGGTGAGCATTAATTAATACAAATCACAATACATACATGTATATAAAGACCCCGTCAAAATTTATAGAATTTCACTGTCTATATTTCAGGTTGTTGTAAACAATGGGCTGGAGATTAATATTTGCAGTCCTTGTCGTCACAGTCCCGTACAGCACGACCCAAACTTGCCAGAGAACCAGGGTTGGGAAACTTGGCGGTAGCATCATCTTCGGAGCTGCTTTCAACATCCACCAACAGGCCGTCGGAGGGCAAGGGTGCTCAGACCGCGTGAACGCTGACGCTATTCAGAGATTGGAAGCTGCGCATTTTGCTGTCAAGACTTTGAATGATCAGAGTTTTATGCCTGGAATAACTTTTGGTAAGTCAGATGTTAAACTTTTCTCCTGAATATGTACACGTATTTTTAATCATAAACTGCTGTTTTTGTCCAAGGTTTACATTTCCCAATAAAGCAAAAGAAAGTTTGACACAGGAAAAATTTATTCTAGAAAACTTTATTTCACATACTATTAATATTTTAATGAAATATTCCGTGTTCTCAAACTGCTTTCTAAAATGACATACATTATCAATATTTCCTATCTCCAGGGATAAGATCCTATGACGACTGTGGTATCGCGAGCACGGGGGTGCAGAGAGCCCTTGATTATCTCTCGGAGAGAGAAAGCTACATAGATGAATCGGGAGAGGTTTGTCCTGCAGACGTCATGTTTCCAGGTAAAGGCTTCAAAATAAGACTTTACCGACGGGATAGTGTAATGAATCCTTAACATCATAACTTAAAACTCGTTTTGACATTATAGCCTATTCCAAGGTCAAGGTTTCTCTTTATTGCCGTTGGGTGCTATCATAAAAAACAACAACAGGGTGCATATTTCATACAAAAATATTTTTGTCTGAAAGCAACACCGGTGAACTGTTTGGTAGTGTGATTATATAGGCGTCAAGTCAAGTGGGATCCACTGTTGGAAATTTTTTAAAACCTGGGAAGCATAAATATATGCATGAAAATGAATACCTTATTTTTACGCCAGGTTTTATTGCCTCAATGTACAGTGGAGTGACGGCTAAAATCGCAACGTTCTTGAACAACATTCCAATGGCCACTGTGAGCTATGCCTCTCATAGCTTGGAGCTCAGCGACACCAGCAGGTTCCCTTATTTCCAGAGACTTGTTCCTAGTGCTAGCACCTCTGTACAGGTAAGGATGTGTTTTTCTTTAAAATGGCCTAATTGATTTTTAACTTGATGGTATATGTTGTATCAAACCAAATGAACATGAATGTATTTCAGCGCATTCACATACTGTGCATTTTACTGACGTTTTCTTAATCTTTTTTTAGTTAAAATTGTCTTCGATTTCAACTGTAATTAGGCAATACGCCTACTCAAATCTCTTTAAGGACAGATAGATACGTTAAACACATATGTTAAAGTTATACATTATTTAACTGGTCAGCGACACCTTTTCAGGTCCTGATGTCCATTCTGTCAAAACTTAGTTGGACCCACGTCTCTCTGTTGGTTGGAAGCGATCCTTACGCGCAAGATCTGAAGTCGTCTTTTCTTCATCTCGCTTCCCTGAATGATGTCTGCATAATGACAGTACAGTCTGTAGACAATGCGGACGCTACCATTAATTTTCAAAGCGTCATTGCAGAGCTTGCAACAGCGTCTGCTAAAGGTACGAGTGTGAATAGCATACCAATAAGAACGTATACTGTACAATTGACAAGAATAACACAAAGAAAACTAAAAAGCATTTTTCAGTCACTGAATGCATAAGACAAAGAAAATAACGAAGTATTTAATCTTACTCAGGGGCGGAACCAGAGATATTTTCTGACAGTCTTCCAAACTATCTTTGTTGATCCATCCTCCATTTTTGACCGTCTTCCGACAGAAATAATTAGATGCCTGTCAATGTAAACTTGAAAATCTGAACGTCTTCCGGAAGACCCAGAAGACGGCCTAAATCCGCCCCTGTTACTTGCAGGTGCACACGGGGTCATCATCATGACAATTCCGGAAATCACAATGCGTTTTTTTGAAGCGGTGAAGTCGCAGGCAGCTGTCCCGGGCGTGGCGTCTTTGCAGTGGATTATGGGTCTGCCCTTCCACGACGAAGCCGCGTACTCCCACTTGAAAGACACAATTCGGGGATTGATCGCTTTCTATGAATACTCTGGGACTATTCCTGCTTTTCAGGAATATTTCTTATCTTTAACACCTGAAAACAATACAGCAAATCCCTTCTTTGGCAGCTACTGGGAACAGGCAAGTACAAATATGCATTGTGTATTTTCCTTTTTTATGGCTTACACGTATATTTTATGATAACTTGATTTAATAAGTCTACATACATTACGATAAAGCTATAAATCAACTGTAACCTTCACCCCCGAATCAAAATACGTATATTTTATGATAACCTGATTCAATTAGTCTACATACATTATGATAAACCTATAAATCCACTCTAACCTTCACCCTGAAATCAAAATATGTATTATTTTACAGGTCAATAATTGTACTCTCAACGCGACTTGCGCTTCCTCACAAAACTACTCCCGTGCAGAGGATTACAAACAACAACAGTTTGTCTCAGAAACAATAGCCTCTGTGTATACATTTGCCCACGCTCTCAAATCCGCTCATACTGCCCTCTGTGGAGGTACCCCAGGACTCTGCGGGAATCTGGTGAATTTGTCTCCTAAAGAAATGATGAAATATCTTCGACAAGTGAAGTTCACCCATTTAGATGGCAGACCAATAGCATTTAAAGAAAACGGGGAGGCCATGCATACACAATACGGGATCCAAAATATTCAGCTCACTGGATCTTCATATGATATCGCAGAGGTAATCAAATTATTTCGGCTTTATTAGTTATACATTGTCGAACTAAAAAGAAGATAATATTGGACAAGACATCAGAGAAGAAAAGTGTGGCAACAGACGCCATTATTCTAAACGATTCATTTAGAAAAATGCACTTTTCTGCAAACAAAAATGTCCACATAAAATCATCTTTTTATTATAATTGATTGCAGGTGTGTTTTTTCTCGCAAGAATACTGTTCTTTAATGATGATAATTTTATCTTATTTCTGTATGTGATACTGTAGGTAGGGACTTGGGTCGAAGGGAATTTAACCCTTACAGGCTCTGTCAAAATGTACGATAAAGATGGCCATGGTGTTCTTGGCTATATCAACTCTACCTGTGACAATACTTGTACTTGTACCAACGTGCAGCAAGATAACAGGTGCGAATAAGATCAAATGTTGTGGTGTGCTTGAAAAGGATAAATGATACACTTCAGGGGCGGATTTAGGGTGTCTTCTGGGTCTTCCGGAAGACGGTCATATTTTCAAGTTTACATTGGTGGGTATCTAATTTTTTCTGTCGGAAGACGGTCAAAAATGAAGAACGGATCAACAAAGATAATTTGGAAGACTGTCAGGAAAAAACTCTGAATCCGCCCCTGCACTTATGTACTTAATGTTTGTATTCGTTCTTCTTTTACAAATATAGTTTTTTCTGCATTGAAAGGTTTCGATTACTCAGATTACTGAAATTTAATAGTTTATGATAAAAACCGAATGTACATGTATAGTCCTCGATATTGAATGGCGGTGGTTTCCGAATTAAATTGGTGATTCATTTTAAGACAAGCAATACGTTCAAATGCATCTGTGTCTTTGTATCGTTTTCCAGGTTTTCGAGATTTGATGACGGAGATGTTTTTATTTTGGGGATATTTAACATACACGGCAAAGGTAAAGATGTGCAGGAATGCAGTAAGACAGTTCTTCAAACCAACCTCATGGGGAATCTTGAAGCGTTTTTCTACGCTCTGGAGAAAGTGAACAATGACCCAACAGTCCTGCCCAATGTACGTCTCGGTGGTTTGGTTATGGATAATTGTCGGTTTCACCCAGATCGCGTGTTACGACAACTTTCCAGTATTCTGCTTAAAGATGTAAAAGTATTAAACTCCCAAGGAAAATCTATTCCATTGTTAGGCGCCTTATCGGGAATTACAAGTGGATCTGCTTTGTATATAAATGATTTTTTAGACCAATACAGATTACCGCATATTAGTTTCACTTCATCGAGTGCTCTGTTGAGTGACAAAGCAAAACATCCACGTTTTCTTCGAGTTATTGGTTCTGACGTTGCGCAAGCCCAAGCGATGGTGGACATTGTTAAAACCATGAACTGGACATACGTGACCACAGTGTTTTCTGACTCGCCGTATGGTCGTTCAGGAATGAAACAGTTTTTAAAACTCGCAAAGAAAGAAGGTATTTGTGTTGCTACACAGGTGATGTTTGAAGAATATTTTGTCACTCAACCACACGCGGTAGACAACATAATTCAATATATGATTGCAGGAGTTTTCCCAGAAGCTAATGTTGTCGTAATGTTCGTATCCGAATCTCACGCACGTGCAATTTTAGAAGCGAAAGAACGATATCTAGGAAACAAGACGAATAAAGTGATATGGCTGGCGGCAGATGCCTGGGGTCCGTATGAGTCGGTTCCGAGCGGCCTGGAAAAGATTGCTCGTGGAGCCATAACACTAGGTTTCCACACAGCCCCATCAGTGGAATTTGGCCAGTATTTACGCAATCTAACATTGGCTTCAAACACAAGAAATGTGTGGTTCAATGAATTTTGGGAGCAACATTTCGAGTGCGATCTCTCCGGAATTGGTAAATATGGCGTCGGTTGTTCCTCCAACTTGTCCCTCAATGCACACGACATTCAGCAGTACCAAGTGTCAGTTACAAATGTCGTCGATAGCGTGTACGTGTACGCGAAAGCACTGGAAATGTTCTTGAAGGATGCCTGCCCAGAGACACCGGATCAGTTGTGCAGCGAAGCGGCTGCCAGCCTGGATAGGGTCTTCAGCTATATGAAAGGCTTGGAGTACAATGGGTCTTCTGGAATGAGAGTGGCATTCGATACGTTTGGCGATGGGGTGCCTAGATATGATGTGTTTAATTACCAAAAAGTAGGAGAGAATACCCATGGTTATAAAAAGGTGAGTACACGATAAATAACTCGTTGCGTATACACGTGCAACGCATAGCAAAACACTCTCCAGTCAAAGCATAACTCATCCTTCGATTTTTGTTTTCTCGATGTTACCTATAAATCAATAATCCTGTTACGACGACCAGTTTGAGTTTCAAATGTTTACTCAATGTCACTCTTTTTTTTCATACAAATGAAAGGGTAGCTCTTCGTGCTGGCTATGCTTTTTACCTATTTTCTCTCCAGCACCTTTTGCGTGATCTAGAAATAAAATGTTTGACTACATTGAATGCAAAGAAAATTTAACAATGCAAATAGTAATAGAATAAACGAATAAATGAGTATTATTTAACTGTGTTTTCAGGTAGGGACTTGGATCGACAGCGTGCTGGACTTGAATGTCGAGAAATTATATTCGTACAGAAACAACGACACCGCCCTTTCTATGGCTAGCGATGTCATCTCAGTGTGTAAGAAATCACCGTGTAAATGTTCCACTGTGGAGGTAATGGACATGCCTTTCACAGAGCAATACACGGAGTTCACACTGTTAGGATACTTCCCGCTTCATGCCCAAGGTCGTGGGGATCTGCCCTGTGGAGAAATTCAGCTTGGTATGTACCAGCAGCTTTTAGCTTTCTACTACGCCATCGATCAGATCAACAAGAATGCTACCATAATGCCTGGTGCCAAAGTAGGGTATATGGTATGGGATACGTGTTCCTCTCCTGCCCACGGCGAGTTTGTATTTGAGGGGTTTGACTTGAATCTCCGTTTATACAATCAGCCCCCGGATATTCCAATATTGACCCAAGTCCTGGCAATGATTGGAGGTTACCAAAGTGACGTCACAGCCTCAATCAGCTATGCAAACCAGCGCGGATATCATCTCGTACAGGTGATTTTACTCTCGTTTTTTATTTATTTTATTTTATTTCATTTTATTTATTTATTTCCTATCTCCCGAAAAGCATTTTCGTTTTAGTTTATTTGTAATTTTGGTGGAAGTGTAAGACTTAAACAGCAACATGAAGAGTCGTTTTCCATACAATGGTGGTTTAAAATACTCAAATAGGTACTTGTTCATTGGTTTTTCTTTCGATTCAGATCAGCCCATCAGCATCGGCAGTGGAGCTCGGTAACAGGACCAGCCACCCCAGATTCCTGAGAACTGTTCCCCCAGATACCGCTATGATGGAGGCTATGGTGGAACTGTTGCGCGATTTCGGATGGACTTACATATCTATCGTATACTCTAACAGTAGTGCTAGCCGCGCCAAATTTAACACATTTAAGGGTGTTTTAACCAGAAACGGCATTTGCATTGCTGTTGTCCAGATGATTGATCCCAATTTTATGTCAGATGCTCAGTATGATAGAATAATACAAAATCTCACCACCTACAACGGGGCTGTTGGGGTCGCCATCTTTGCGAACGAAAATGAAATACGCCAACTACTCCTCTCGGGGAAAAGGCAGAACTCTGCAGGGCGGTTTGTCTGGCTTAGCGGCGATGACTGGGGTAAAAACCTCAAAATTGTTGATGGAGTAAATGAAATAGCCAGGGGATCATTCACATTGATGCCTGATTCGGGAGCCGATGCTACATTTGACAGATACATTGAAAACTTAACAGTGAATAGCTTTCCACGCGATCCCTGGTATAAGGAATTTTGGGAGGAACATTTTCAGTGTAGTCTACAGTATGGTGGGAAGTATGACAAGGCATGTACTGGCGCGGAAACTTTCAAAGTAAAACCCCTGCTGCAGCATTCATACACAACCAGCACCATTAATGCCGTTTATGCGTATGCTCTGGGACTGACTAATATGTACATGAAGAAGTGTGGTCGGGTAGATCTCTTCTATTGCATAGATAAAATCCCGGGTCTTGACAAAGATGTAAAAGCATTGTATGATGAGATACGGCAGCTTAGGTACACAGGTGCTGACGGACGTTCTTTCTATTTTACTGGAAATGGTGACGGAGCTCTCCGGTATAAAGTGTTAAACTACCAGCCAGGCAGAGAGTCGGATTATGTCGAGGTAAAGTAACTTCTTCTTCGGTTGATTTTATTGATTCATTTTGGTCATTGTAACCATATTTGTAGATTGTTAATTCATGACGTAGCAAATGTTGGGAAACTTTGAAACGATTTTGCTACCCAGACCGTACTGTCATGTCCTATGTTCAGAACCACATGTCCTTCATCAATGCGAATCACTGGCGATAACGATTTTCTAATTGACAAATAAATTGGGTTAATTCTGCTTCATGAATTTCCTTTCCCTTTCAAAAATTTTTATATAAAATCGTTTTAGGTTGGTTACTGGGAGAACGGAGAGCTCACTTTGAATTTCTCAGCGTTTAAGATGTACGACGAAAAGGGGAACAGCATTCGCCCCAAGTCACGGTGTCCCGGGACGTGCACCCACTGCATCTACCAGAGACCAGAGATCGACACCACCAGAGTGCCGCTCAAGTTTGAAGAACATCGTAGCATATGGGGCGTGGTCGTCATAACAGTGACGGTCCTCGGCGTGGTATTTGCTTTCATCATTATGATTTTCTTTATATTCAACCACAATCACCCAGTAGTCGCCGGGGCCACCTCGTCGTTGAGTTTTATTCTTCTCCTTGGAATTATTTTGCTGTATTTGTTGAATTTTGCCATCATGTTTTCCGATGTTTGGGCAACGTGTGGAATTAAGCGTTTTGGCCTAGGCTTCTTTTATACGCTCATCTTCACGGCATTGCTGATGAAAATTATACGTATTCGTCGCATATTTAACAAAGCGAACGTTTCCATGAAGCCCTCGTTTGTAGGGGGTCCCAGCAACAGTTTGGCTGCGTGTATTCTTTTGTTGATCGAACTTGTACTGGTGATAGAATGGCTGGTGCTGCAACCACCCAATATTGAACTTCATCTAGACAACGTGAGCACGGACCCAGACTACCCGCTATACGATATTGACTGGCGGTGCACGCACAGCAAGGAATCTCTCGTCATCTCCCTGGTTTACGTGTATCTGTTGATCCTAGCGACGCTCATTGTGGGTTTCAATGCGTGTAAAGCAGGGGACTTCCAGAGAGAATCCCTCTGTATCCTTCTCTCAACAATTGGGACAATCCTCATCGTTGTTGCTTGGCTTTGTGTGTACATGCTGATGCCGCGAGAATGGGAGAAGCCAGCAGTTTGTATAGGTATCACAGCTAATGCAACCCTGATATTGTGTGTAATGTTCACACCCAAGATGCTGGTGATGACGTCGGGCCAGACGGCCACACCCAAGGGAACGAGGTCCACCAGTAGCTTGGAGTATGATGCAACTTACATAGCCAGCAGGGACAGCCGAGATGTCGGTAGGTTCTTTGTGTGAACAGATAATTTAATATATAGTATGTGATACAAATACACAGTGTAAAATGCATCAATATATATATATATATATATATGAATAATGAAATTATGCTTTAAAATGTTTGCCTTTATTTCAACTGGGTTAGTAATTTTTTTGCACAGGATGGTTAAAGTTTTACATTTAGGAGAAGTTATCTTATTTTTATCATATTATTTGGGGATCTGATTTTTTACTTACATGGTAGACCTGCATGGAATCTCTCTTTTTTTCTATCACGTTAACGTACGTTTGCTCAAGGAGTTATAACAAAAATCAACAGACGAAGGCACAGATACTAACAAACGAGATTTAAACGAGAGTAGCAATTAAGCGTAACAGAGATAGGCATCTATTGTTCTCTGGGTTCTATTCATTCCGACCAATGAGAGACCGTAATACGGGCTCCGCCCCCACGCGTGTAATCTCCTTCTGTTATAACTCCTTGGTTTGCTTCATAAAACATTTGCAATTCATTTGCATTTGCATGAGTACTGGCTTAATTTTGATAAAATATTATCTATAGAAGTTGAGCTTGCATCTTTATTCTGTTTGGTACTTAATTCATAACAGCTGCTTACTGGCCAAAATATCTAGCAGGTAAGGATTTTTTACGGTGACGGTTTAGGTGTTTTTTTTTTCTTTTTGCTTCTTGGTTTTGAAACTGTCTTTCTTTATATATAACTCTGGTTATATCTTCTGTTTAGCTGTCTTTGTGAACGTTTATTAAAATCGTTTCTGTGTGTACTTTTTTGTTGAAATTCAAGTATTTCTTGCACTAATGAAGGTAAGTATCTCACTGTATTGTGTCTTTCTTTCTGAACCGTCTTGCTTTCACCCTTTACTCCAGGCCAAGTGACACTTTGGAAGAAAGTCCAGGATTTTTGGAAGAAGATGTAGACAGGTTATCTTATTTAGCTGTAACATTTTGTTTACAGAATTTCATTTGCTATTTCCGTCCTCTGGGGCTACACTACAGCTTCAAAATACTCAGCCGTCTTGATTTGCTTGCTGCGACCCTAAAGTGAACCCTTAAGCCCTAGAACTGCTGTCTGGCCTATATATTATTGTGTTCCATTAAAAAAATTATTCATAACTATATTTTCCTACTTTTTGGTGACAGTACTAAACATATTACAGTAAAGGAAATGAACCGACAAGGAGAACCCGCATATCCCTGAAGCCATAGATCAATCTTTTACTGCATGCTTCGCTTTTTTCCTTCGCTTGCGTTTTATTAATTTCCTGGGTGCATTTTGTTATTCTGTTACTTTTAGGATTTGGATGAATTTCAGTTGTTTACTTTTTAAGTGGGTCTTGTAGGCATGACAAACAGAAGTTATGAAGATGACTCTGATTTGGTGAACCCACGGTATACCGGCCGCTCTAATGTGAGCAGTAGCATAGGTGGACCTAAACCCGTAGCCTCATTTTAGTTGAAGTAAGTTTTTGGTTATAAATGTCCACAGGAAAACGCCCTCTATAGAATTAAAAAATATATCTGCAACTACACACTGTATATATGAACCATTGCATTCCGTGAACTACGGTTCCTAGAGTAAATGAAAATGGTTCTTTCTTTCAAAAGTCAAGTAAGCACAGACATATACAGGCTGATTAAATACCAGCATGCGAGTGAATGTCTGATGAAAGTCTGTAGAGATTTTCGAATAAATTTCCTGTCGTGTAGACCCCTATCGTGTATTCGGCTTTAGCTAGAAAATCAATTGGCATGCCCTGTCAGTGATTCTGAAACTGGCAATATTATCCATATTACATATCAGAACCATATTAAGTACAATTTTCTGCATTCATATGTCATGAGGCGTGTTTGCTGTTGTTTTCTTTTTGTATTGCTTTTTTCTTTTATAGGTTATCTAAACCGAACAATCTACGGAGATTCCTTAGAAGTGCAGCAAATAGATACTGAGATTAATTCCTCCAGCACTCCCTTATAGACACTCCAGTCACAGAGTATAGCAGATATGCGTTAGTCACAATCGGAATGAAAAACATACTGTTCCGAATAACAAGTTCACGTATAAAAACGCTTACGTCTCAAGTATTTATTGCTTTTGTTATTTGTGAAGAAAAACAGCGTTGATGATGTTTGATGTTGGGTTTCTTAATAAATGATTGTAGTTAAAAAACATTTTTGATAAAAAGCAATGCATGGTCACAATCATGAAGGTATTTTTGAACATTTTATTATTTAAATTACATTTAGTTAGCAATTAATTTTTTCTTTAATCAAAGTCATGTGCCTTTGTCCAGATGTGTTGACTGAGGTATAGATTGCATATTAAAACAAATCACTGTCTGAATGACGTATATTAAGATGCATATTACGTTATTAGACATTGACTGTGCTTAACACAGCATGCAATGTTGACTCGATGGTATTTGCGAGGTGGCGTGTATACGTACATGCTAGAATAAAAAGGGAACCGGCAAATGAAATGAGCTACACCTATTTTCATGATAATGTTGCTAAGCCAGCTGCCTAAGATTTTTATAATCAGTTTATCACAGCAAATTGTATTTTAGCTTATATAAGAATGAGGATAATAAACTCTGAAATGGACAATTAATTCGATTTATGTTGTAAATCAAATGCATGGACTCAAAGAAAAGCGTTCATTGTATATGTCTGTCTTATGTCATAGACACCAACGCACAAGACACTCCAGTACGTCCCTTGCAACAGTCATAAGAGGTTTTCAACTTTAATACACATCTGTTCACTTTTAAATCATTTATTGCGTGATCAGAATACACCCCATTCAAAGAAGGATTTAGACTAGTCTGGCGAGACGAAACCCTCCAGTGCTTAAACTCTTTATATTATGTATTAAGAACTGCTATGAGAGAAGACTAGCTTCTGTCAAAGCCAACACCTGTTGCTCTTTTTATTGTGATGGGAAATTTAAACGCATGCTCCTTTTGTAGAAAAACGAGAACGATCGAGGAACAACAGCATAGGAATTGTAGCGGTGAAAAGGACGTCTATGACATAAGACAGACATATTCATGCAATATACAACTATTATACTTTAAAATGATTAACCATCACCTCATCCTCAGTTATTTCAATAGAAAGTCACCAAAAAGCTACACGACTTAGTTTTTATTGTTATTCATTTTTTCACAATGTTCTTAAGTTTCGCGACGCTCTTTTAAAGTTATAAATCAAGTAATTCATGAACCCTAATGCATGTTTGGCCATCCTTAGCACATTTCTTCGTATATTCTGATTTGTATGCCGCTTTGTAAACAATCTGTATACAAAGTAAGATGAATATCCATAATCTTTATCCTACTTTACTAATAATATAACCAACCCCATGTTTACAAATGATTTTTAATAACTTGTAAATACACACATCCTGTTTCGGCATCTTTGAACGTTGACTAAATAATAAAAGCACATACTGTGACTCAACGTTTACCGAAATTAGTAATGGTATGACATAATGATTTCAACAGCTGCAAGTTATTTTAACATTAATTTTTTGGATTTATAAACAAGCCAGATGCCTAAGAGTGCATTCCCATAGATTTAGATCGATCCATCTAGATCGACCTAACTCCCTGGAGGTTCTCGCTAAATTGCTATCAGCCGAGCGCACACGGTAGTTTATTACCCCCTTACAGCTTTTAGTAGGCAGGACAGACATTTAAGCTTGCTAAGCTGACAGTAACCTAGTGAGACTCCCCACAGGGATAGATCGATCTAAAATCTGTGGAAATGGGGTCTAAGACTGCATTCCCAGAGATTTAGATTGATCCATCCGGATCGACCTAAATCCCTGGGGGTTCACACTAAATGTCTGTCACACCTAGTAAAGCTGTTAGGGGGTAATTATCTTTACCCTAGCTGATTCGGTAGGCGTGACAGACATTTAAGCCTCTTGAGCTGACAGCAATTTAGCGTGAACCCCCAGGGAGTTAGGTCGATCCAGATGGATCGATCTAAATCTGTAGGAATGCAGTCTAAGATATTCTGCGCAGTAACATAAGTGACTAATACGCATTATCTGCAGAACCATTTATATATCATATTGACTCGCGCATCATGAATTTTTATAGATTGTTGGAAACTAACTCCTCAGGTTCCAGTTGTCTAAAAAGACAAAGCAGTCCAGGGGCGGATTTAGGCTGTCTTCTGGGTCTTCTGGAAGACGGTCAGATTTTCAAGTTTACATTGTCAGCCATCTAATGTTTTCTGTCGGAAGACGGTCAAAAATGAAAGATGGATCAACAAAGATAATTTGGAAGACTGTCAGAAAATATCTCTGAATCCGCCCCTGCAGTCTACTGTATTTCTCCATTATTTGCTTGACCGTCAGCTTTTTAGGTTATCTATGAAAGCAAGATTTCTTCCGGCTGGAACAAAACTCAAGGTAAAAATTACCTCCACTACCAGTATGTCTGTGCAGTGACTGAGATAGACATGCTGACAGTGGAAATCTATAATTTGGGGTGATTTCACAAGATTTGTGTCCACATTTGAGCAAAACATATTTTGACATTTCATTCCTCCAAGAACGAGGATAAGTTCTAAATAGCAAATTTAATTATTCTATTGGCATTTTCAAAATTTTAAAATAATCTCATAGTTATCAAACTAGGGTTAAAACTTTGTCACATCAAGCTGATATGGGATTGGGGGAAATAAATGAAAACTTTTGAAAGCATCATTAACCTATAGACCTACTATGACACGATTTTCACACATAAATGCTACAGGAGCAATAATACTGGAATAATTAGGCGACCAAATAATACAGTACAAGCACACCATATGGTAAGGATGTGAATGTCTTCATCCTCAGACAATAATGCAAAGCTACAAATGGTGCATGAATAATAACTATTTGCAACTGCACTAAATATTCAATATAATTTTTTTTTACCTATTTAATATCTGTTTTCATAACAAATGTATAACATTCAGGAAACAAATCGGATTACTAACTACAACAGTTCATCTTGTATCTGGTAAACACATAAAATAAGCAAAAACATTTTCAGTGATTTTCATTGATGGCATTTCATTTAGATTTCATGAAATATTTCCTCATTAAGTAGACCACTGCAAAATGGAAACTTTCCACTTAACATCAACTTTCAATCAAAACAGTCTGAAATCAATGAGCATGTGACAAAGAAACGCCCGCAGAAAAAAAAGTGAAAAGAATTTTAAAGAGTTTTGACTCCAATTTTAAATGAGACTTATGAATTGCATAAATCTATAGAAATGTCTTAATATGTTGGCTATATGAAATTCACAAAACATCCTTTAAAATTTTATATGCAAATAAAAGCAGTTTTATATCACAAATCCACAACATATATTTCTGATATAACCTATACCACCAAGAAACAAATATTACAACAATGAATGAGATTCACAGAATACTATTTGATTCTCTACATCATAGTGCTACTGTTCAAAACTTTGGCTGTGCACACCAGGAAATGTTTCCTCCAACTTTGGACTCCAGCACCCTGTGCAACTTCACCTTCAGCAAAGAAGGAAACTGCAGTGTTACATTTCCAGCTTGCCGCAATCCCATGCAGGTTCCATCCTCTGCCGAAGGGTGACAGTAGTTACTGTAGCCATGGTATTCAATCACTGTCTTCATCACTTGCTGAAAGGGGACATGCAGCCTGTAATCTACAGTAAGCATCAGCTGGAACAGCCGAGGACACTTAGAGAGAAGTTCACTGATCCCGCTCTCTGTGATCAAAAGATTCTTGGTAATGTTCAGGAATTCTAGTGACTTCCCATACTCTGCTATAGCAAGCAAGGCTTTGTCTGTCAACTGCAGGGAGGAGGTTGAGGAACCTGATATGTCTAAATACTGGAGCTTTTCACAATTTTCTGCCAATGTTGCTATGGCAACATCAGTTACCAGGTGACACCCTCTCAGTAAGAGAATCTGCAGCTCTCGGCAGTGTTTTGCAATCTCTATCACTGAATGATTGTCAATCTTGGAGCACAAACTTAGGTCTAAATGTCTAAACTGAAAGGCATGTCTTGGTTCAACATGAGAGTGTGTGCTTGGCATTTCAGCAAGCTGAGTTTCACTTGAGCATGATGCTTCACAAACTATGTCCATACTAGTTATCATATCATTACAACCAGCTTGACTGTGACTAAATGCAGCAACATCATTCTGAGCATAGACATCTTTAAAACTTACTGTATCCAGATAATGCAGAGTTGCCAGTTCAAGGTGCTTTAAGAGGGGGCAACTGATCATGAGTAGGTTGATGCCTTCAGATTTCAGCTGAACACATTCTGAAGCTGTGAAGACTTTGAGATTCTTGCAGCACCTAGACAGGGCATGAAGGGAAGCATCAGTCAGAGCTAAACAACCACTCACACTCAGATGTTCCAAGCCAGAACAGCACTCGGCAAGAGAAATGATCCCAGCATCAGTCACACATGAACATCGACAAATTTCTACATGTTTAAGATCAGGGCAGTTCTGGCTGATTGCAGTGAGGCCATGATCTGTAATACTTGCTTCAGTTGGCCACACATATTCTCTGTCTGTACAAATCCTTAGTTCTTCCAGTTTAGAGCAGTGGAGTCCGACGTAGACATAACCCATGTCAGTAATGTACTTGCATCCGCATACACTCAGTTTCTGTAACTCTTTGCAATTCTCTGTTATGCTCTTCATGCCGCTGTCCTTTACATCAGTGTGACAAATATCTAGGTCCAGTAGATTTGGAAAATATTGAAATCCTTGCTCGAATCCTTCATCTGTCAGTCCTGTAAAATTGTGCAGATATTGAAAATAAATATTTTAACTCATATGAAAATAATGCACTTATCTCATAAAATATGCTGCAACAAAATGTTTTGTCACATCTTGCCGTCTGAATCATCACAATGTAGTTAAGTACATATACCTATCAATAATAAAGGGCAGACGGTAAAACATTCATATTCTTGAATTTTATTAAGCATGAAATAACAGTACATTGGAGACCACTTGAAAAGTGTATATTAACGGGAAAAGGAAATAAGAGCCTCCTCAAAAAAGGAAGATTTCCTTTTAATAATTACTTTTCTTAGATTGAAAAAAAACCTTTATGTAGAATCACTACCATTTCTCAAAAGGATAAAAATTAATGTTTACCTGTGCACAGGGGGATATGCAACTTGGTCACATTAACACAATTTTTTGCCATCTCAATGAAAATGCGATCTTTTAATCGCCTATGGGAACTCAGTGTCAAGGCTGTCAATTGTGAACATTGAAGAGGTAGCTGCACAATCCCATTCCTTTCTTCTTGTTCAAAATTTTCTTCTGTGCTTTCTTCATCCAGTAATACTCCAAGCATGGTATCCCCCGATGCTAAAGATAAAGTCTGAAGCTGCTTTAAGTTCTGAAGTGCTCTGTGAAGATTTCCAGGCACTTCATAGCACCCTGGTTCTGGTTTCTGGAGCTTGTCACACCCTATCAGTGATATGCCTTTAAGTCCCTTAAATTGTGTTATTACTAGTTGGAGTCCACTGAAAGTGATGTTGGTGAAATTGAAGTTTACCGAACGCAGCCTTGGACATTTTATGCCACCCTGCAAAAAAGCTCTGTCTGTCAAATATTTGCAACCTTCAAAATTGATTTCTTCTACATGGTCGGCTATGAATGGTAGCATGGAAAGATATTTCTCATCAGTCATAAAATAACACAAATGCTGAAGATCTAGAATTTTCCACAAACTGGAATCATAACTTAGTCGATGCCAGGTTTTGCATACTTTTCTTGCTCCGAGGCACAGTTCATCCAAACGTAGGTACCGAAATACCATTAATAAAATGGACTCAGGCAAACACAAGTAAGAAGCCATGTTGTTTTACAGTACATATCAATCGGTGAACTGAAATGACTCCGTATCTCTAGGCTGAAGTAAGGTTTCTCTAAGCTGCCACAGCTAGTCTAGCAATTGTTTTAACTGATTAGCATAAAATGGTAGATTTATGCTCGAAGATACATTACGGTGTGCAATTCTTGGATCTAACCCCTTGAATATATAACATCTTGTCATCATGTAAGTGTAATCGTTGACGCAAACTGCAAAAATTAACACTTCGTCTAGCACCCACTGCTAGCGATAATTGGCGGACCAAGTATCCGTTTATGGCAAAATAACACTTAGCTAGTTGCAAGTGTAATATGGTATAATATAGCAAAGAATGAAACAGATAGCTGAAATATATAGTTAAATTGTCCTAAAGCAATCTTATCTCTTTAAATTATTTGATATATTTTAATACCAACTTTACGACTTTGGCGCTCTTTACAAATGGAGGTAACAAAATCATAGCAACAAAGCTGGAGCAACAATATGGCGGTTGGAAACACTTAGGTTGCTCTTTATTTCAGTGAAAGTCTTGTTTTAGGTAGGTCTCTGTCCTTGGTAATAGAGTCATGCATTGTAAATATATCATGTTAATGACGACTGTAAAATATCACACAATTTGCTATGCTATGAGCAAGGCTGTGGCAAAGAAACTTAATGAACAATCTCATTAATGGATGAGAGTCAAGACAGTTGCAAGGTGCTTGTGATTTTTGCTCTGAAGTAGGGAAATTTGCCGTCACTTAAGTTTTTGGTCTTATTTTTAGCTCAGTGGGTGATATTTCACTGTCAAATGAGCTCAAATGCATAACTTAGTGGTCGCTTACTATATCACGTATTTATCAAAATTGAAGTTTACATACAAAATACCACCAAACTCCAAACTCATTTGAAAAACTCATCTTATTGTGTTAACAAAAATATGATTGTTAAATAACATTTTGTGTTTTGTATGAAAGCTAAATGCATGAATAAAATACAGATAATTACCTTCTTCTTTTAGATGAACACCAACATGATAGTGCCCCAGCCCCAGGGGCAGGTCCAAGGGCAGGAGCCCCCTATGTACCTGCAGAGACCATCTTCTGCCAGGTCACAAGATGTTACCCACATCCTTGCTAAAACATTCAGGGATTTCTTCACAAGAGAAACTGTCAGACCAGAAACAATTAGAAATCTGGCAGTTTCCAGAGAAGGTGGAGATGAATATCATGAAAGATATGTTGAGGCATTGCAAAAGGTTAGTATGAACTTGATTTTAATGAAATTTAAAAAAATTAATGGTTTTATTAATTTTAAACTGATAATTATATTTTTATTGCACTGAAAGCACTTGCAATTTTGAAAGCCCAATGTACTAGTAAATTTAGAATAATTTTTATTCATGTATCTGTGCAACATGTTCAGTTCAGAAGCATGCTCTGATTGAAAAATAGAAGCTTTGCACATCAGTGATATAAAATGTTCATTCTATCTGCCCCAGGTTCATGCTGAGAGAGAAAGACGAATGGCAGAAGCTACAATGCTGGAACGGCACATTATGCAGGCACAGGCACGTGCTATGTCTGCAGATGAGCGCGAGATGAATCGATTGGCATCAGGTCATGTTAATTACCCAGACCTAGGTCTGCCACCAGCCAGGTCCCACTTTAGGTCCTGTATTGACAGCCAGTTGCTTAGGAAGCATGGATTATTGTGTCCTGAAGATTTTGCCACAGAGGAACCTCCACCTGTTCCTCCTCCACAGGGTAAGTTCATTTGGTGGATGTCTTCTAAAAAAGGAATATATTTTTGAAATATTATTCAAAGAAATATTAATAATCCGAGGAAAAACGTTAATGCAAATTTAACTAATACATTTTTTAGAGAGTTCAGTGATATTTAATTATTTGCAAGAATAGCCTGTTTTTACCTAATTTATCATTCGGTTCAAAGTATTTTACTTTATTTTTATGCTTACAGCACCTAAAATCCCTAGCTATGCCAGAGAGACAACCACATCCCTGCTACACACAGCTCAAGGGAAAGAGGAAGGTGTCAAAAGGCTTAGCCCAAACATGATGGAGAGCAGAGATAACATCTTATCAGGCTCAGATACCGAAGATGCTGAACAAATAAATACACAGAATGTGTCTCAATCAGTAGGTTATATTTGTAATCAATAAGTAGATTATGAGTGAAAAGATGAAGTCACATAAAAGAACTTATTTTCTTACAGTTGCTACTATTAAATTTTATATTCTACCCACAGCACAACCCAAATTTTATAACCCTTTTCTCTTGTACTCCTTGTTTACAGCAATGAAGTAAATGGATTGATTAAGTGTCGTTAGTTTTGGAGATACATAAGACTTTTATTCTGTTTAAAATTTTAAATGCTAATTTCTAATATTTATTTAGAATGGCTCTCCCAGAAATGCTGATTGGAAGGCCCAGCTGGACCCCCTGCAGAGAGAGGTGGACAGAGCTGATCTGGCTCTACTCCAGGCAAGAGCAGACTATCTGAAGAACCCTAGGTTTGTTCCCCCATCAGCACCAGGGGGAGGAAGGACACTAATTAAACCAAAGAAAAAGAAACCAAAGTCACAAAGACCATGGCCTAGATCAGAGGAGCCAAATCTGTAAGTACAGTGGATAAGAAATTGCTAAAAATGGTGGTTTATCAGTATCTGTTTGCTGAATTCACTGAATGACTAGTGTTGTCTCTTTTGAATATTGATTAATAATATACATATACATTTTTCTTTATGTGTAGCGAACCATCTGTGGTGTTTATTCCTTCACCTTCTGTAGTCACCTTCTCCAATTATCAAGTAGGGCAAGTGTATGAGGTAAGTGTCAACCTTTTATCATCAATATTTTATTTTTATGCAAAAAGTTGTCATGGTAGCCTTTTGTTACATTTTAGAATCACATTACCAATGTATTGACAGCAAGTTTGTTAATATGAGAGTGACAGTAACAGTATTGACAGACAACTACTGGTATGTTAATTATTCTGTTTCTTTTTAGACCACATTGGAACTGAAAAATGTCACTACAGCTCTGAGGCAGTGCAGAGTTATTCCACCAAAGTCATCCTATTTCTCTGTTGGACTTGGTGCGTAGAAGAATTTATCATAAATACTGGTGCTTTTGATTGAAATTGTATGATTAGATTACTGGTTCACTGTATAATAATAACAGTTTGGAATTGATAGATTTCGATTAAATTTATTTGAAATGATTACATCAGCACAATGGTTTATATGTCGATCTTTTTAAAGAAATGATGAATTTTAATAAGTTTCTTTGTTATTCTAGGTCAATTTCCTGGAGAGAATGGTGTGGTAGCACCTGGTATGAGCTGTCACTACAACATCAGGTTTATACCAGACTCTCTGGGAGACTATGATGATGAACTCACAGTGCAGACACAATCCTCAGTACCTCTTGTGGTGAAGGTGCAAGCCAGGAGACCTCCCCCTGTGTTATCATGTGAGTTAAAATTAACCAAATATGGAGGAGATCTAATATTGGAAAATAGAGGTGTCACTGTTGAAAGATGAAACATCCTTTCATTTTTCAAATTTTGTAAACTAATAAATAGATTTTCAAATAAAGAGTTTTGCATGTAGATTTATCATTTTCATTCTTTTCTTAGTGCCAAGTAACATAGATGTTGATCAGTGTCTTGTTGGAGGCTGTAAGATAATCCAAATGCCACTGCATAACAGTGGAGGTAGTGGCAGGTTCAGTATTATGAAAAGATCTTCCTGGCCAACAACCAACTTCAAGGTAAATATCTGTATTTTCTTTAGTGTAATGAAAAAAATGGATGTCTTAAAATTGATTTTTTGTTGCTTTTAATTAATGAAATTGCTGATATTACCTTCACACAGTTTGACTGTTGTTTATATTATATTATCAGCCACATATTATGATACTGTATGATTTGAAACATTTTCAATATTTTTTTTGCAGATGAAATAACCAGCAGGTCTGAAACTTGTCCAAACTTTTTAGTGACTACTTCAATATGTGTCCATCTTAATTCCTTTTAATACAGAATGTTTTTTTCTGTTTCTATTTTCAGAATGTCTCTAGCACAGGTAGTGTCCAGGTCCCTCCATTTGAAATCCGTCCCTCAGTGTTTGAGTTACACCATGGTGACACCATGCTGTTAGAAGTGATTTTCACTCCTCCTTCAGTCAAGGAATATACCCAGTCACTTACTATAGTCTGTGATAACTGCCATGTCCAGCATTTCACTATACGTGGTAAGCATGGTGTATCATGCAGCACACAAGTTACTGCAGTACAAAACTTGTATTTTACATTGAAAGTTTCTGATATTTTTTATACTAAAATGATTTCGCTTCTCTCTTTACCACATTTAAAACAACAATACATTCTTATCACCATGAGATATGTATTAAGAAATAAAATTATGTTCCCTGTCTTGTAGGTGAGGGCCAGACAGCAGGTGTGGACCTTGTATCAGTGGATGGTGGTAAATCTGAACCACTGCCTGGTGAACTGTGTGATGTGGCTGCTCAGCACCTTGTCAAATTTGAAACACTCAATCCATTCACTTACACACAGAAGAGAGTCATCCTTCAAAATATCACGTAAGTATACAGAAACAACACAATTGAAATGCTAAGTTATAATTTATAAGACAATTTTTCTGACATGATTGATTGATTGTTTCTTTGGGTGGGTGGGTGGGGGGGTATAAGGGAGAAGGGTAAGTCCAAACATATTATTTTCTCCTCTACACAATCTTTTTCCTTGTCAAATTTGAAAAGGAACACATTAAGACATATTAAAAGAATGCTATGGTTAGTCCTCAGGATTTTATTATCTTATTTCTTGTAATTTGTTTTGAACATAGACTCTCATTTAATTGTAAAAGCTATAATAGTCATCATAAAAATATTTTCATTTCATATTAAATTGTAGAAATGTAGACTTACCTTTCCACTGGAAGATAGTGAAGCCTCACTTGCGAGCTGTGGACATAGAGAACCCAGACACTGTGATTCCTGTGGACAGGGTGATAGACCTAGACTCTGCTTTCAGTATAGAGCCACAGAGTGGAATTCTGCCAGCTGCTAAAGCTGTCCCTTTTATTCTGACTTTTGCACCTGCTGAGGTAGGGCTTGAGTGGTTTTGCAAATTACACATTGGTCAATTTTTTGTGGATATAACAAACATTTATTTGATAAGAAGTATATTTTTCAGCAGTTATTTTCTTTTTATTTGCTTTTTTACTACCTAGTATTGGCATTCAAATGGAAAAATCAAAATTGAAAAAGTTCAAAATGCCCCAAGGTTAAAACTTGCTGAAAGTTTAAGCAAATCATAAGAGATAAATAGTTCTGCATATTGTTAAAATAAACTTCATGTTCACAGGTGGATAAGTTCCATAGTGTGTTCCATCTGATACTGCAAGAAATTCCTGAACCTCCTGAGATGGAGAATGGAGAGGAGAAGAAAGAGAATGTCAGAGAGGCATCCAACACCTCGGCTAATGAAGGTTTAAAACCCAGTTGCTTGTCATTTGTTCATCATTTTTATGATTTTAATTATAAAAAGCTAAAGGATGGAGTAAACAATGAATGAAATATTGCATGATGAAGAATGTTATGTTGTCTATCAAAATCAAATAGATGAATCATGCAGTGTTTTTTTTAAATATTTTATAAATCCTTTTTTAATTTTAGAAGGCAAAGTGAGGGATATTACTACATTAGAAATGGAAGTGAAAGGTGAAAGTGAGCCATTCAAAGTGCTGCTGCAGCCATATGCCATCTACATTTCTGGAAAATTACTGATTGGGACTAGCATTAGAAAACAATTTCAGGTAATACGAGTACAGAGCTCTTTGTCTTTGTTAATTATCTTTTTATAATTTTTATTTTTTGCATTTCTAGTATATGGGCTTTCTTGCCACACATTCTTGACCATGTTTATTCAAAATCACTAAGTTTGTCATCAGTTTAACTTCAATACCATTTCAGTTAGAGAACAACAGCCTATCATCAGTAGTGTTCCGATGGGAGCGATGTAGTGATCCACATATCCTGCAGGTGGAGCCACCAATGGGAGAGTTAGGTATGACCTTTCAGATTTTAGCCTACAGTAAAATAAGTTTCTTCATGTCACTGTTTATTTTGTGGCAAGTTTGTACAGTTGAATCAGGGATGTTATATTTGCATTTCAGATATGATTTGTTTTTCATCAAATTGAAAGGCAAAAATTGAAAATCCATTTTATCTGAGAAATGTATTTTTATTTGTTTTCCAGGCCCTGGTTGCATAATGGACTGTGAGCTAAGTGTAACTGGCACAGCACCAGGCAAGATTAACCACACTTTGATGTGCCACATTGACAACTTAGACCAGCCTGTCCCTCTGCATATTGAGGCAGAAATAAAGGTATTTATAATGTACAATCTTAGTTGAAATTGTTGCCTTCTCTCAATTTCTTAATCCATTTCTTTGTAGTATACAAGTACTTAAGCACAAATATGACAATGTACTGGTATATCCAGATCTAGTCCAAAATCTATCATCTCCACAACTGATATGATAATTATTGGATGTGCACATTTAGGTGTGGATCTAGTCTTTATTCAAGTCTGACAATTTTGCAGAGTCAATTCAGAATTAAAATAATCCATTTTACTTGTTCGAAGTGTCTTCCAAGAAAATTTTTTTTTCATTTTCTTACACATCCAGAAGATGTTTATGTCCAGAGCATGAAAGTGGCAAAATGTTTGAAACCTTAAAGTGAACTATTCTGAAGAAACTTGTATCCTCTTTAAAGTCACTCATCACATTTTTATATTTGCAGGGTCCTGAAGTTGTATTAGAAAATGCTGATGTAAACTTTGGTCTGGTGAGGATGGGAATGGAGGCTTCCTGTGAAATATTGCTGAGGAACACATGTCAAGTACCTGCCAAATGGACACTACAGGAGAGTCCAGACTGCTTGCAGGGAAAGGTAGGTCAAGATGTGCAGGATATTTGCAATGATTCTACATATAGCAGAGAATAAAATCGAGATAAGGAAAAAATGTTGACATGATCATTTCAAATTATTTCCCCAAAAGGCATCCTGAGTTGGTACATTTTCGGCATGTCTGTGAGACATATTTTATTAACCGTGAAAAGGTATCATGTTTATATTTAAATTACACTTTTTTCACTTACAGATGAAACTTGTAGTTGCAATATGAAATCACACTTGTTCATTCTTCAAGTTATATGCAGTTATCTTTGTAAATTGAAAAACCAGAAACCAGCACATTAGGCTGAATATATGCTGTTGTTTTTATTTCAGGTCTCTGAATTCACATTCAAGCCATGCAGTGGTGAGTTAAAACCACTGGAGACCAAGAGTGTCCCCGTGACCTTTACACCTAGCAGCTGTAGGTCTGTCAGGACTGTGTTTGAACTCAAGGTGCAGGAGGGCAATGAGTGGTAAGTATAGGTGTACTGAAATAAAATTAGTAAATCTGACTTCATGCCAATTATTAAGTGGCTTACATGTACATTTTGAATTTTTCTCACTTTAACTGGAAAATAGTAATTTCAACTTAGTTAGATAATTATTTACAAGTATATGGGATTTTGTAATTGTAAGTTGTATTGAGAGTTTATTTTGGTTTCCTGGTCTGATATTAGTTTGGCTAATTCGAGTTTTACTGAGAACACTTTGAACATTATTATTGTGGGATTATTAAACATATTACTTATTGCATGGTTAATGCAGTAAACTTTCCATACATTTTTGTATGTAGTATATGCTGCAGCTATGAATATATTAAACAAGGAGATTTTGGATTTTTTATTATACATGGAGTTATAATGGAATAAGTTGCTTGGTTTGACTATTTAGAGATGAATTCAAAACATTTTAATAACCACTACAATATTTATGATTGAAACAATAAATTATTCTAATGGAAATTCATTTGTGTAGTCTGTTGATAAAATTATAAGACTATAAGGTATAGCTTTAATTCAGTGTAAAAAGTGAAAATTTAATCTGATAAAGTTAATTGCCATTTTTAATTGACCGTGTTGCATTTCAAGAAGTCCCAATTTTCTTGTTTTTAGTAACATATCAGTCAGAGGAGAGGTTCAGTCACCTCAAGCATGCCTCCTGAACTGCCAGCTAGCCCTAGATGAAGTCTACGTTGATATTCCTATAACACCAACAGTCAAGCTACTCAACCAGACACAGCTAGCCACTGTGTTTGAATGGCATGAGGTAAAAGCATAATGTTTTACATCTTTTGTCTAGAAATACTCATATATAGACAAATACAAGGGATGACTTTTGCCTACCCACAGATAGACAAATACAAATCCTTTTCTAAATGGCAGATTGTGTGGCAAACCCTCACCAGAAGGAGAAACAAACCTGGTATTAGAATCACTGAAGTATTACAAAATGCTGCTAAACTGCACTACATTCAGTTGCCTCTATTCATTTGCTTGATGGCTTTTATGTGCCTTTGGCACTACGTACTTGGAGTAACCGTGTATTCACTGTAGACACAAATATACACAATCATACAGATTAGCAAGCAACATTAAAACCAATAAAAAACAAGATTTAAACAGACTTCATTCTTTATAAGATTACTTTTGGTTTATTTCTATTCATCCCTTACTTTTTCTGACAGATTGCACAAAATTTTTTAACTACTGCTGTATTTCATTTTTTTTGATAAATTTAATGTCATAGTGATTAAAAATTGTATAATTGATATACTTTTAAATAAGAATCATACTAAAAGTTGCACTGTATATACATGCTGTTCTACAGTTATAAAAACATTATATTTTAGAAAATTTAAATAGATATTTTTAAGTTATAAAAAGATGCACTAATATACATTGCACACTGTTTTACACTTATAAAACATATCTGAGATGTCTTGTGTGTATATATATATATATATATATATATATATATATATATATATATATATATTCAGGTTGAGGGAGAGCATGCAGAGCTGTGCAGTGTTGAGGTGACTCCCAAGTCAGGGGTACTGCAACCAAGGGAAGAGTTAGACATTACAATCAACTTCACTGCTCATAAACAGGTACTGTAAATGACAAAGAATTTTTGATATAAATGTAGAAAAAGTTCTATAACAAGATTGGAAATCAGACTAAATGTTTACATAAAAAAAATGCTGCAGAGAAAAATTAAGAAGACTTTAAAGATCAAAATCCACCTTTGTATTATAAACACAATCAAACTGATGCACATTCATTTCAGCCCACTTGTGTACATATACTATTTGTTATACATGTAAATCATTTGAGGCAGTCATTGTAATATGAAGATAATAGTACTTCATGGGTATTATTTTTTATCCAGGGTGATATATCAGATCTGAGGATCCCATGTGTTATAGGAGGTATGGAGCAAGCTCTAGGTCTTGCTGTCAAAGCACATGTCAAAGGTCTATGTGTCTCCTATAGAACTGCTGAGGAACCAGAAGATTTGGGAGATTATAGGTAATGAACAAATAAAACAAAACTCAGCACAGAGTCTCTGTTTCTGCTTGATGTAAAGCTTGAAGTAGTTGACATGAAATTTCATATGCATGTTCTGTGATTATATTATATTAACTTTGACTTTCTTATTGTGAAAGGCATTTGTTTGAAGTAGAACTATATTTGTGTATAGAATATAATTGTATTGAGTTCTGGATGTGAATAAGAAAATATATTTTTTAAAAATGAAACCAAAGTTTCACTCGTGATTTCAACACATTTTAACCAGATGATAACATGATGATAATATTTCCATTTTGTTCAGAGGTACACATGAAATGTAGAAACAAAAGTTGATAAGAGCTGTATACAAATTTTAATATGTAAGTGAAAATGCAGAGGTGCTAGCTACTCAAAACCTGTACCCATAATAGTAGCCCATAGCTTGTGTGCCAAATTATCAGAATATTTTGTTTCTAGCACCTGCACTGATGGTCTCAGCTTAAACTATGGCGATGATGTACAACTTGGGGACACACCGAGGAGATATGTGTTTATGAAGAACAACTCAGCCATTGCTGCTCCCTACTCTATCCACATGGATTATTTTGTAGCCAGGCCTCCAACGCCACCTACAGATGGGAAGGATAAAGGAAAGATGCCAAATAAGAGGTACAGGAGAAAGTGATTATAATTTCTGAAACCAAGATTTATTTTAAAAAACAAAAGGGTTTTTTGTGACCTTTCGTTGCAGAAACAAAAAACAACAACATTTTTTCATTCCCGATACATGTATTTATCAAATTTCTGATCAAATACTTTAAAGTACTAGTACTGTACTTGTTACTGTGACTTAGTCTAAAGTATTTTACATGTATGTACTTGCATCCCTTACATAGTGCCTATTAAATTTCCTTATTAACTGAAGTGTAAAATTTATATTTTGTCTTTCACCTGGAAATTTCCTTTTGTTTTCAGTCAAAGAAGACAGTTGCTTAGCAAGACAACAAATTTAGCAGATCCAAGCAGCAAGTCTACCACCAAGGCCCAGGCTGGTTAGTTGTCTTTATGTTCAAGGCACCTGCAAGTGTAAAGGCTGGAAATGGCATAAATTGTTTTGCTTTCATTAAATATATGGAATAAATAAATAGCAGAACTTTCTTAGAATATTAGCAGGGGTGGATCCAGAGATATATTCTGACAGTCTTCCAATTCTTTGTTGATCCAGACAGAAAAAATAGACACCCATATACAGACAGTGTAAACTTGAAAATCTGACCGTCTTCCAGAAGACCCGAAAGACAACCTCAATCCGCCCCTTATTAGTAATTAAGAATGCTTACCTTTTCATTCGTTTCTTTACAAAAAGATGTTCTCACAGTCAAGATGTTATGAACAAATCATATGTGAACATTTAAATATTTCTGTATTTCACTTCTTTTCAGAATTCTGCCAAGTCATGCTAAGAGATGGGAAGGGAGCAGCATTCAGCATACAGCCATCCTCTGGAGTGCTGGAACCTTTCTCAGAACTCATGATAGAAATAACAGCATTCAATGACATGTGGGGGCACTACCAGGACAAACTGGTCTGTAAAGTGGACAAACTGGACATAGTACAGATCCCTGTGACCATGACAGTGGTGGGATGTCCACTTATATTCCAGATGGCTTCCACTCAGCCTGGTCAAGATGCTGTGGTGAGGTTTGGCACCCATGTGTCTGGAGTGCCCCCTATCAACAGACAGTGCAGGATCATGAACAGCAGCCCATATGGTGAGGAAACATGACTCTTTTTGGGTGGTTGTTGCTAGTACCATATAGCCGTACTTCAATTGCACTAAGGTCTGAATGTTCCTGGTCACTGATGACTTACTGGCTTACATGGCAGATTGTTGGCAAGTTTGTCATACTGAGTCCTCACCTACTCCTTATTTTTAGATAATATCAAGGGGTCAAATTGGCAAATGTGGTTTATATATAATTATTAATTACATTTAAGCTTTCAACCGTATTGTGAAAATCTATTTTTGAATCAGTCTTTTTGGTTTGAACTCTTTTTTAAATTAGATGGATTTGTAACTGATAATCTGATGAATTGAATATATACTTTGGTTTGTGTTCAGAAACGCTCACTTAAAAATGACTGTTCATTCCAGATATCCGTGTTGACTGGCAATTGTTCAACATTGATGAAAATGATCGTCAGATTCTGGACTTTGTGGTGACCATAGGGGATGGCTTCCCTCTCAGAGATGAACATGGGAATGAAATCAAGAAAAAGAAAGGTAATAGCAAGTTTTTTATCCTTTCACATAATGTTGTTATTTGATTAGTAGATTAATCCAATTCTTATAATTGGTATTTTTATGAAATCTGTACATCCATGTGGTCCAGATGATTAGTTTTTGTTATATTAATATATAACTTATTTTCAATTTAAATTTTAAGTTGTACATAAATAGTTAATAATTTGTTACATGAATTCTATTATATTTCATCTATAATTCTATATATTTCAATTTCAACCACAAATTAAAAAAATTCTAGGCCCTCCTGCTGCATTAGTGAAGCGTGTTCCAACAGACATGATCCCTGAGACCCCTGACACCTCACCATATCCCAGCAGGGAAGTGTCCTCCACAGACACACAGGCTACTGAGGAGAAGAAGGAAGCAGAGGCAGAAGAGAAGGAAAAACTTGTTAAAGTCACCATGAGAATGCATGAGGGACGAATGGGAAACAGTCCTTTCTCTATTGTTCCTGCACAGATGGTGAGAACCATTATAATGAAAATGACTTTTTTAAAACTTAAGAGTGCTTAACTTTATCTATCATACAGATGACACATATTTTCTTCTAATAGAAAGAATATTTGTGATTAGATTTTGCTTTGGTCTAGTTCACATTTCTTTAATCGTAAATTTAAAAAGGAGTTTAAAAAGTTTTTGGAAAGTGTTTATATATATAAAAGAACTGAATATTTTTGTAGATTATTCCTGCAAAGGGGACATCAGTGATCACTGCCAGATTCACACCCTTTGCCAACACAGATGTGGAAAGTGGCATCAGTCTGGCAGGATATGCTTTGGCTTACATGAGTCTGGATGAGGTGGTAAGAAAAGAAAATGAAGTAAGACACAAAAATGTATTGAATACAAACTGTAAAGTTATAGTTTTCTGGTTATGTTCAAGTTTGCAGTACCACAAGTTTAACCAGATTATAGCTTGGTCGTGTTCTGGAGAATAAGACATTGAAGTGGTGATAGCATAGATCTGGATATGTACCAGTCGATGTGGAGTTTTTATCAAGATAGAAAGAAAATGATCAAAATGCATTTCATTTTAGGCATCAAACATACCAGGCAAAGTGAAAAGAGTTGCAGGTTATGAGATGGTTCCTTTGAGACTGGACTTGTCTTCACATGTCAAACCTGCTCTGTAAGCACACTGATGTCCATAATAATATATTGCAGCCATTACATGTTCATGCATGTCTTCATAATAGTGAGAAATTATACAAAATTACTACAAAAATGTTTTAAAATTCATAGATCAATGTAAACGTTAAAAGTAATGAAAATCTATAGATAAACTAAATGGTTTTTTAAAACTGCAATTTGTAAAACGTGATAAAGATGTGTTTACAAATTCCTTTTGATCAGAATCATAAAATATTTCTTTGATTTTGCAGTTTGACAATAGAATGCACAGAGGATGAAGGTATGAGGTACAGGACAGCTGCCAGTGATCTGTTGAAAGATGGAAAGGTAAACTTATTGCCAACGATAAAAAACTATACATGTATATCTTAAATTTCTTTTGAATAAGTCATCCTAGTGATTATAAGACAGTTGTGTTAAATAGTTAAATGATCTGCAGTGTGATGGCAGACATATTATTTACTGCAAATTGACTCAAGTAATTTTGATAATTTAGATATATTTAAATACTAATTAAATCTAGTGTCAGTATAACCTCTTCTCTGTGTGTATTAAATATATCATGATAGACAAAAATTGATCTTTTTCCCAATTTTTAGGTTGGCAAGGAAAGTCTCCGTGTTTGCAGTTGCAACTTGTCTAACTATACTGGTACTCCCCTTACCTTCAAACTACTGACCAGAAGACCATTCACCTTGGTGGACATTGACCCTGCTGCAGATGGTCACCTTGGTAGTGGACAGGTGCAGGAGTCTGAGATGTGTACCCTCAGACCACAACATAATTTGTTGGTCAATATCTATTTTTTTCATACATATTTTTTCGAAGTCAGTGATAGTTATTTTCAAAAACAGTTTTTAAATCAGATGCTTCAAAATTAAAGGGAGTTGCTAATCAGATAATAAGTTACTGCCTAAAAATGCCAAATATACAGCAAGTTGAAGTTATTACTGAATTCAACATAAAGTTAATTTAAAATAACTTCAAAATAATGCTGTAGATAAATACAAGTGTATAAAATAATAACTTATCTTAGTACTCTAAAGTTAATCTGTATATCCAGTGGTAAGATGTTGAATAAATTTAATTAAAGGTGAAAGTTGGTTTCCGTGTGAGCCTGGACCTAATTAACTATGCAGATATATTGGAGCCAGACCAGGAGAAGGATGGGATCACTCTGATTGTCCATGAAGGAGAGAGAAAATTACACTTCAGATATGACATGGTGGCAGAGTTTAATAATGGCACCACTCAGGTTAATAAAAATTTAGTGATATAAAGATTATCTTCAGAAAATTAATTAGTGTATTTGATTCTATTATTTCTTTCATCACAATTAAAATTTCAAATTTGATCATTTGTGTAAGTACATCATGAATAGATTTTGTAATGGGTTTACAAATATATATGACTGGTTTATCAAGGTTTTGGTGTTTCTTGAAAAAAATCATTCTTCTTTTAGAAACTACCTTTGTATGCGACTCTAACTGTACCATCCCTGATGTTGTCAAAGGAGAGCGTTGACTTTGGTACTTGTCTTGTTGGTCAGCAGAGAGAGTTGGAATTGATCCTCAGTAACAAGACAGGCTCTGCTAGCTTCTGGACTGCCATCATAGGTGAGACTAACCCCCCTCCCTCACCCCAGGCAATAAATAAGAGAGTAAAGAGAGTAATGATGTCAACTCCATGGTAGTAGTTTGGTCCTACAAATTATACATGTTATGCAGTTTCTGCTGTTTTATAAATATGTGATAAGGTATTGATGTATGACATTGAAGGTGATGACTCCCCTGTCAAAGTATGTACTGACAGTTATATTCACATCTTTACTTTTCAATTCCTTCATAATTATGTTAAGTCTAAGACAAAAATTAAAACTGGTACTACATTTTTTTCAGAGAGCAAATCAGACACTTGCACAGCTGACACATTCCGTATTACTCCAGCCAGTGGTGTGTTAGATGCCCATATAACACATATATCTAACAGTAAAGTCCTTCTTAAGCTGCATTTTATTGCAAAGTAAGTACTGGTACAGGTTGGTTCTGAATTTTCATGAGCCATTATTTCTACACTTGTTTTGTATGGAGGCTTTTGATTGGACTGAATAACTTCAAGCAACAAATATCTACTGTGTATATGGGGAAGTATTTAAACATATATAAAATAATGGGGAAATTGCATGATTTTTCAGTGTTTTGGATGAATGAAAAAAAGCAAAGGTGCCATATATGAAATATTGTAAAAAAAAAAGTATCCGATGTACATGTGCAATCAGAATCCATTTCTTGCAGTATTTGACAACAATATATTGTCTTCTAATACTTAAAGATATGTTGATCCATAAGATATCCATGAAATTACTAGCCAGAGTGAGGGTCTTCAGTAGCATATTACTAGTTAATACATATTTTTACATTACATTGTCTTTCAGGCATAATGAAGACTATGAAGCAGTGTTTCTGGTGCAAGGCATGCTGGGTGAAGAACCAAGAAGGTTATATGTCAAAGGTCAAGGGTCATATGATGAGAGGCATGAGGCATTAGTTAATGTATAAGATGATGAACAAAGATATTTTATCTTAGTAAAGCATCCATGTTTGATTAAAGTGAAATACACTATGAGAAATATGTGAGTGGCAAACACTGTGACATTTCTGGACTATGACACTGACCCTGGAAAAATATCAGAAGATATCAGTTATCTTCAATAATAGCTAATTTACCTAATTGTGTATATGTATAAATATATATATTACATTTGTTTTAACATAATTAAAAGACATTAAACTTTAATGTTGTTTTAAAAATGTATATTGAACATTGGAGCACGATTTTATTTTGTAAATAAAATTATTGATATTTTTACGGTAAACAGATCTTGTCACATGACTGTTCTCTTTATTATATTCATATATTATCAAAAATATATTATATACATTCTTGTTATATTATTATCACTATGCATTTTAGCAAATCAAAAAGTATTATATATGTTTTTTATTCATTAAACTTTATTTTATGAAAGTAAAAACTTGATAAAATCTAAAATCTATCTACCCCATGGCCCTCATTAGGTAAGTTAAAAATGCTGGTTAAATATCATCGTTAAAATCAAATTAAATACTGCCAAACCACTTGCAAACATTTTGCCTGTTTCCTTGTTTTATGCTTTAAAAAGAAAGTTAGCTCTTTACATGTGTGTTTTATGTTTTAGCGATGGTGTTTTTTACTTGGGATTCAAGCAGATTTACATTTACATTTCTTTTTTTTTTTTTTGGTACATTTATGGATTTAGCTGTTATGAATCCACTGAAAATACAATAAAAAGGCAAGGAATTTTGAACAGCTATAAAATACCCTCTATAAAACAAACGTTTTTCATCTAATATGCAGTAAACAATGAAAAATTCTGAACATTTCTTTACAAGAGGTTTAATTCATTGATTGGCATGCTGCTCTTTGGCAATCATTTACATGTAAGTGCTTTAGAACCCCATTTTAAATTTAATCAACATAACATTTTTATCAAAATTAATTTCATTATTTTTGTATTTTTTTCTAATTATTATTTTTTTTTTTTTCTATGACAAATGAAATTAAATGATGGCAAATACAGCTACATGAAGAATAAATAAATGTGCAGAATAAAGCGAGTGCGTCTCTTGGGGAGCGAATAGTGAAATCCTAGCGGCGACCTTGAAGACCTTGTCAATCACGCTCTATGTTCAACGTGATTGGCTCGTGAGCTCCTGAGGGCGTTCGCGGACAGAGTAACCGACATCTCGCGCCAATTTTTGGTGGGGCGTAAATATAGCGAACAACAACTGATAGTTTTATTTTACAATTTGGGTGTTTATCAGAATAATTTTTCGAAATCGCCACACAGAGGGATAGAACATTTCACAGCAACGCATGTAGAAAATTTAATGAAGTTGGTAAGTGTCGTTTATCGGACAATCCGGAAAAAAAATACTGGGTCGTTCGCTTCGCGTGTAGCCAGCAGACAGCAAGAGCGTAATGTTACCGGTTATTTGGGTCGCTTCCCTAGTAATAATATTAAACGATAATAGTAGCAGAGACGACAAGCAATCTTTGTGATGTACTGAGAAATTTCTTAATTTATGTGAACAAATCTGACGTCGTGTGAGATGTAATCAGGTAAGAATTGAGGACTAGTAAGTACAGTAGTGTCGGTTGTCGAGCGCGCCATAATGTGTACTAAGATTACCCAGTTATATTTGGAAATTGGAATTGAAATTTAATAACTTTTTTATGTTTTCCCTTATCCATATATGTTCTCAACACATCTGAACTTTATATAAAATGATAAAACAGATTTGTAATTATAATTTTTATAAAACCATGTTTTCTGATTTCCAATTGTCTTCATTTGTTAGACTATTTGAATTATGTATAATTTCAGGATCATTATGTCAAGGGAAAAGCAACCTCTATTGCCCAATGGCTTTGATTTAGCTAGTCTTCAAGATCTGGATAATGATTCAGATGCTGAGGCAGCGTATGAATCCTTCAGGACTGACCAAGGTGTCCCAACATTTTCACAGGAGAGTGATCCAGGTGTGACCCTGTCTCAGGGCTCCACCTGTTCACACCAATCACAAAGAGATGAATATACCAATCAGTGTCTGCAGTCACAGACTGATTATGATCTCACAGACTCTGTACTGAAAGAAAACCTTGCAATTCCTGATTCACTTTCAGACGTTATTCAGGAAGCAGAGAACATGGTGCACACTCAGGTACTCTCCAGTGAGAACTTTGTCCAGCCTTTACAAAAAATGTCCAGGCCTCCTTTGGGTGTTTGTAACCGTAATATACCAGCAGAGGACAGTGCTTTTTTGAGTCCAGTTACTCCAACAAAAGCAACAGATTTGAATGTAGATCCGTTAACTCCTACTGCCAACTTGAAGATTTTGATCAGCGCAGCAAGTCCAGAAATAAGGAATAGAGACAATAAAAAGAAAGAACTTTTTAAACAAGAGGAGATGGCATTAGGACAGTCCTCGGATTCTTGGACAGGCAGTGAATCCCTTTCCTCAGATTGCCATTTTGAAGATGGAGATGATGATAAAAATTATTTGCAAGGAGGGTTAAGCAGGAAAGATAAATCTTTAGGACTGCTTTGTCAAAGGTAATTTTTTTTAATCCAAGATTTTTGATAAGTAAATACTTTTTTTGTAAATATTAATGTGTTTTGGAACTATTCAAATTATTTTGTTCCCTTGAATTAAATTGTTACAAATATTGAAATATTGAAATTTCATGTTGTCAGTTATCTGGTTAAGAGAATCTTTTTGCAGTCAATGAAAATATTTGAGAAAGGAATTAATGAAACCAATGTACATCTTTATCCACTAGTTAAAACTCTTAATTATAAACCCAATGCCAGCTAATCCTGCATTATTTATACTGTATCTTATAGAGCAAGAGTCTTAGTTTTCAGCTGTTCTTAATCTGAGCTTGAAGACAGATAAAATAAAGCTTGAACCTTGCCTGAACCTAGGGTGTGTGTATAAAACAGACAAAGATTATTTTAAAACTTAGTATTCAGTTGGGGATAAAGATTTTAATCTAATAGAACAAGAACTTAAAAATATTTGAACAAATGTGCCAAATAAGATACAAATGAAACCACTAAAAACAAATAAAACTATGCTCTCATTTTATGTTGATATACAGATTATCCAAATTGAAATAAATTAAAATATTAAAATATATGTTATTTCAAGTTCAATCCACCTTTCAACTTTTTTATATTAGTTGAAAGTCAACAGAAAGTTTTTATGAAGACAAGACAAAGTTGTCTGTACATGAAATTCAGTAACTTCTTTTAGTCATATCACCTGTTTCCCAACCCATTGAAGTTTGCAGCCTGCCTATTTATACTTAAGGTGCTCCTTGTAATTATCTGAATTGTCACTTGAAAGAGTCTGATTGAATGATAGAATAGCTGATAGTAAAAGGTGACCAGGTGTCTCACTCTTTTTTAATGCCCAGACTAATTTATAGTCTAGTCTCATCTAATTAAAGGTCTGGTCTCTTATGAAGTGTTACAAGTGTTTGTTAATACAAAATATGTTGAAATTTTATGGTGCCTTTCATGAAATCAAACAGGTTTTTGAAAGAATTGACCCATCAGTTTAATGGTGTCTTTTCAGGTTCTTATCCAAGTTTCCAGAATATCCAGCGCAGTCTGAGATCATTGAGATATCTCTGGATAGTGTGGCCAAGGGTTTGGGTGCGTAAAGTACAAATAATACACTTAATACAATTCTGAACACATGAACATCTTGAATTGTAAACAGTGGCTGGACTATTGTATGGTTTTGAATATATAATGTCTAAATGATGAGACAGGGTGAAATAATAAAGTACAAGCTTAAGTAATCAAAATATTTATATGAAATGAATTGGCCACATAATATCAAACTATCTAGTATTAAGATAACTTTTTAGTGCTGTATGCAGAACTGATAATTTGAGTGTTCAACAATTTGTTAAGTAACCATTCAAGTTCATTTGAATTTCATTTTTAGGTGTTGAAAGACGGCGTATCTATGACATTGTGAATGTTCTGGAGAGTGTTGAAGTTGTAAGCAGACAGGCTAAAAATAAATATTTGTGGCATGGTAAAACTAATCTGCCCCACACATTGGCAAGACTGAAGGTTTGTAGCTTTAGGACACGTGCTCAAGTTTTTTGAAATACTTAAATATATAAAAAATATTTTGGCCAACCAATAATTTCTTCACTACGTACAGACACAGATGTGTCTGTACGTATAGCCATCACCTATCATTGCCGTCACCAAGCACTTTCAGGGATAATACAATTAGTGAAAAAACGTTTTACCTTTTGTCTTCACATTTAAGGAACTGATGAGTGTTCATAAAATACAGGTCAAGTTCGAAAATCACCACAATCAGGCCATTATTTCAAAATGTTTTTTTTTCTTTTTTCAGTATATATATATATATATATAATACTGATAATATATTTCAAGGAAAATCAATAGGCTTATTGTCTTGAAACTCAGGAGTTATCAATCTTATTGAAATACAGGGAGAGTTGGAAAATCAGCTTGATAAGACAATTTTTCCCAAATTTCTGCTGTTTTTTTATTCAGCGTATATGCAATACAGACAACAAATTTAGCGGAAAACAGTTGACTTGTCTTCAAACTTACAGGAATGATTAATATTACTAAAATACAGATCAAGTTCCAAAACCAAATAACCTTTTTTGTGCATCATTTTTTTTTTCCTTTTGGTCTGTACATTTGACAGCTATGCTGCCTTGATTTTCAAAGGATACTGAACAAATAATACTATTGGTTAAATATTCTTAGACTTGTCTAAATAAGAATTATTTTGGAAATGAAACCCAAAACATGTGGGTTGTTCTTAATTTCAAAACCCAGTATGTGAATATTTAATCACTTTCGTATGTATGTCTTCACAGACTCTTGCCAAACTGGAGGGTTTTGCTGAGAAGATTGAAAGAATGAAAGAATTTGAGATGAGCAGAGATGTAGACAGTGGTGATGAGTTTGAGTTTCCCAGCAAATTAAGCACAATGTCGGTCCAGGAGAGCCTGTCCTTTCAGAACCAGGAGAACATGGATGCCTATGCACAGGGTAAGACTGGAAACTGCTTGTAGTTATTTTTATCAGTGGTGATCAGGGCTATCATAGACCCAGGTGGACATCACTGGATGGCTGTGGATGTAAGAGATCTTGGGAACTTTGGTCTTAAACACCTGTTTGACTGGTGTGTAGCTTTAAGGTTATATTTGTTCTTCTTGTTAGTCCTGATGTTAGCATGCTTACAGGCTGTTAAGTCACTGTCAGTAATTTTAGATACAAGGTTTTTGTCAGGCCACAACATTTTATCGTCCATTTACAACAACTTGGTAAAACATGCTGAGCTTATTTTTGTTTTCTCTAATTTTAGCTCATCTGAGAAAAGACAGATCTCTAGGAATTATGAGTCAGAAGTTTCTGATGTTATTTTTGGTGTCAAAGGTGAGGAATGTATATATTTAGGAACTTCTGTTAATGGTTCAGGGATATGTATAGTTAATTATATTCATGAATTTGCCTTTGCTTTATTTTCAAAAATGAATTAGTTAATAACATTGAACACAGTATTGAATTCAGTGCATTTAGTAATGTTACTTTTTTGTGTTACATTTTTTAGCCCAAAATGCTAAATTTGGATCTTTCTGCCAAAATACTCATTGGGGATCCAAATATTGACCGGACAGATGGCTCAAAATTTAAAAGTAAGTATTTTAACCAATTACTTAATGCAAACCAAAATATATCCTAACAACATAAATATCATTAATTAGTATTGGCAAATGAACATAAGACTTTTATTCAGTGCTATCATTCAAACAAATTAAAATTTTTGAATTCAATATTTATATGTTGTTTTCAGCTAAAATTAGAAGACTTTATGACATAGCCAACATTCTCACCAGTCTGAACCTAATCAAGAAGGTTCATGTAACAGAAGTCAGGGGTAGAAAACCAGCTTTTATGTATATTGGACCAGATCTCAGCAGCTTGAGTGAAGTAACAGGTATATTTATGTTTATCATTAAGTCTATCTAGCTGTGACAAATTGCCAAAAAACTATTTAAATTTAACAATGTGACTCATTTTATTACTATGTTGCATTATCAAAATGAAAAATAATGATCAATGTCAACATTTTCAGCATGTTCGGCAGATGGAAGTGAAAACCATCGACCTAGTACAAAACACTCCATGTTGGACTGTGTTATGAACCCTAAGGGTAAGAAGTTAAAACACTGTCAATAGGTTGACTTGCATTCTTACTTTGTGTTGTGTGCATGTTTTTTTTCTGGTAAACAGTTTTTTAAATCAAAGATCTTGTGGTCTTTGAAATTTTTTGTAATTTGCAAGTATTTACTTTTGTCTGCTGAATGAATATTCGGTATGCATTACAGTTTTTTTTTTTTTTTTTGTTTGCAGTGTGTGGACTAACAAGTGCTCAGAAAACCCCTGCTCCTCTTCACCCCAAAAACTCCTTAATAAACCAGGCTGTTGGTCCAGTAGTATTAAATAAGCTGGAATCTGGAGCAGTGCCAGTTCCAGTCCCTAGAGGTGAGTTGCTTTAGTGATTGCCATGTGAACGATTGCTTGTAGACAACTTACATTATAGATTTGGCAGGCCATTTGTCAGAAGTGGGCTTTTCATTTTTCACGTCACGTCTTTTTTTTTAAATTTTTTTTGCAATTTGACTTTGGCACAACATAAATAACTTTAAGACAATTTGATTCTTAACTGCTATACAAAAGAATGATTTTTTTTGTTCTTGTTGTTGTTAAGGACGATAAAAAGTACAGAGTTTTAATATTACTTTATACTATTTTCCAAATAGCAAATATGGCAGCTAGATAATCAAATGGATTATTGTAACTTATCATTTGATTAACTTCTCCTCAGCACATCTTGGTATCTGCCTACACCTACAGGTACATTGAAAGATCTTTTATGTCTTGAGACATTCATAGATAAAACTTGTGTGAACAGTCTCATATAAGGTGTGAGTTAAAAATCTTAAGATTAAAGTTTCAAAGATAGTTATTTAAATTTTTCAGAAGACAAAGGCAGAGTCCAGTCCATCAAACAAGAAGAACGAAGTACCAAACTGACTGGGAAAAAAGGGTTTACTAGACATTCATCTTTTGAACTCATCTGCAAGGCTGCAGAGGATGAAAGAAGCAAATTGTACTCAAATGCCTCAAGTCCTGGCACACTATCACGTAGTCAAGGTATTGTTTATGTACATTTAACATATCTGAATGAATGTTTCAGTTTAGCATTATAATATACACTTGTGTATGTTCCATTATTACATTTAAACTATATACTTTTCACGTAATTTTATTTTATTTTATTTTAATTTAAAATTTTTTATACATATTTATAGAAATATTTAAAATACAACCCTGTTTTTCTGTAAATTTCTGTAACATTGTTATATTAAAGTCAAGTTTTTTTGGTTACAGGTAACATTCCAATGACCCTAAAATCACTGCTAGACAGAAAAGAACCTCTTAGTCAATCAAACATGCACACAACAGAAAATTTGGCACCCAGGACAGAGATTCCATCCAAGAAAACACCAACATCTCTGCCTGAGCAGCAACCAGTGACCAGAAAGCGCATTGTGATAATCAAAGGAGACAAGAGGGTTCACATCATGCAGGAGAATATCCCCAGTGGTACAGCTGTCCGAAAGGTCACTCTGACTCCTGTTGGGCCATCTATGATCAAAGGTCAAGAGCAAAAGTCCAGTGAAAAGATCATAATTAAGACAGTACCTGATGACAAGGGTTCTGGAAAAGTGTCTGTATCCAAGGACCAGCTGACAGCAGTACTGCAGCCTGTGAATCGGACCACAACCCACGCTGAGCATACTGATGTAAAGCCAGAGAATTTGGCCCCTTCCATTGTAACTGGTGAGCAATTCACATCTGTAAGTGAAGCTGCAGTGCGTCGTAGCAAAAGAACTGTGCAGCAGCACCATCTTGCTGGAGACTTCCATTATGAGATGCCAGGCAAAAAGATCAAGGTTGATCAACAAGTAGCAGCAGACAATCCCAATGTACACCAGTCAAAGCATGAAAGCCAAAGCTCACCGGAAAACACCTGCTCTGCTCAAGATTCTGAAGTGGCAAATATCACCCAGCGGCCAGTTGAGAGGACAAGGAGGGAGAGTAAAGGAAGACCTTCCCCTCTACGAGCACTACACCTGCAGGCAGAGTTCTGGTCATCTCCTCCACTGTCACATCTACCTATCCCACCTGCCCAGTCATCAGATGTGGTGACCAAGGTCTCTGAGGGGGACCTGGAGTTGGCATCCCCTTTACCCATAGAGGAACAGCAGTATGGTGGTGGTAGTGGTGATTGTGAAGTCGAGAAAGTTAATACACATGTTGGCCAACAGAACAGTTGCTCTGCCATGCATGCAGTTGCCCCACAGATGTTCATGCAAACCCATCAGCACTCAGATTGTTCAGTGTTTAAGTTCCCAGTCCAGGTCTCCTCAACAGCAGCATCATATCAACTGCCCATTTCTCCTGGGTATTTTCAGGTTTCTAAAGTCCCAGCTTTTTTCCCTCATCATCATCATCATCCTCATCCTCCTGTACCTTTCTCTGCCCCCTCCCAGTGGTATGGAAGGTCATCAGTACAGTTTATGCCAGGGGGTTTCAACACCGGTCCATTGCATGTTATCCCACCAGCTGAGATCTTGTCCCCACCAGCTCTAAGCCCCTTCAGCAGCTCTCCAAGCCCCAACAGCAGTTCTAATGTGTTCTCATTTGGTAACCCATCTGATCTTAGGACACCAGAAGCTGTCGAGAAGCGTCCATTTTCTTCCTCTTCTTCCATGTCTCAAACCTCGCCGCTCGGTGACCTAAGTTCACTTACGCCTAGTATTTCACAGGTGCCACTGTTGAATATTTCTCCAAAGAACAAATCTGTTCTTACTGCTGGAGAAAGTTGCTCAGTTACCAGCTATCATTCCGCTCTAGGAATGGCAACACCACAGCAGATGCATAATTCTTCTGTTTCACAATATGCAGATCCACTTTCTTATCCCAGGACTCCAGGATTTGTAACCCCTGATAGTTCACAGAATATTCCCCATACTGTAACTGGAAATATGTCCACCACTGCTAGACATCTTCAGTTACTTAACAACAACAATAATATATGTGGATGAAATTGAGTTATAGCAATAAGTGATAAATATTGAATAAGGTTGCAATGGATGTTTCTTTGTTATATTACTTGACTGTTTCCTGTATGGCATTAACACTAGGGGAAAATGTATTGTTACTTTTACTACCTTATCTAATGCCCAAGGAAGTGAAATTAAACTTGTGTTTGTATGGTTTTATGAGTGGCAGTATTTAAACAGTATTTAAAGTAATTAAGTTATTTTTCAGGTATAATAATTTAATTTTAATGGTTTGTAGACATTTACTGTTGCACTTTGATTTTAATAATTAGTAATCAAACTTCAGCAACAAAAGCAAGTTGTTTTAAATATTTCATTTTGAATATTTTTATATATGCCAAGTTTAAAATGAGCACATGGTTATAAGTAAAGCACAATCTTTTTATGATGTATGCCAACATGCTTCTATAAATGTTTTGATATTTGTACAGCATCTTGTACAAATTGGAAATTAGTTTTCTTTATTATTTAAAGAATTTTCATCTGTATATTGTTTAATTTCAAATGACAAGTTAGTAGGTCAAGGACCTGATGTATTTGTAGTGTTATATTGTTATACAGCAGCTATGTACTCTCACTAGCTTTAGACTACATTCTTTGTCATATTGGTTGTGGGTGATATGACATGTAAAAACAACTAGAACCAGTGAAATTTGCTCATGAATGAGGCAGCAGTTAATACCAACCATAGCTATCCATTTACCAGGTAATTCTTCAGGGACCAATAGGTTATTAACATTAGTGCAAGAAACATTATCTTTTGATAATATTTAGTTATGAGAAGTTGTATATCTGTTAGATATAGGGAGATATTAGGTGCTTCATTTGTTTTGTATTGCAATTTTTAATCCAGTGTGTTAGTGTTAAAACTAAAAGGATGTACAGCACACACAAAGGAATGAGTAGACAATGTAAAGGAAGCTAGTTCAATTCATCTTTAATGATGGCCATGCAAAATGTATTCAATCAGAAATCAGTTGAAATAAATGTAAATACAGAACTAATTTAGTGTTGTGCCCTTTTTAACTTTTAAATGCATCATTTATTTGAAAAGCTCTGGCTTATCTTAATTAGATTATTGTTAAAAAATAAATAAATCAGTTCGTGAAATACAGTTAAATTTGTGATTTTTTTACTGCCTCCATAAGGACAGTGAAAAACTTAATTAGAATCAAATTATTACTACTTTTGAAAAAAGAATATATCAAGGAAATTTCATTCTAAAAGTACTTTTAAATACCTATCCATTTTCCGTTGAACTTGATAAAAAGTGAAAAAAAAACGTTTGCATTTTGCCTCTTTCATACAGTCTACATTGTAAATTAAAAATACAGTAGCCACCTCATTTGAAGTGTGTTCCTTTTCAGAAGCTACTCCTTAGAACTTTTTTCACTATTGAAGATACCCTAGAATATTCCTTTTTACGCGAGGGCCGTAACATAAGAACTGGTTTGGCATAATTAATCTCTCTAAAAGAATTATGCGTCACATGACCATGTTTGGACAACGTAATGAGATTGGTGCAAGGAGAAGTGAAGGTAAATGCTCGTGACGTCACAAAATGGCAGCCACCACGAGCGGAACAGGAGAAACGATCGCCGTAGAAAAAGTAAGTATTTCTCCGTTAAACAGTATGGAGACAATTGAAATTTAATTATTCTTGTCTTACTGAATCTAACTTTATCGGTTAAATTGATCAGAGAAACAACAGATACACTCATTCAGTTTATTTGTGTAACATTATTTTCGATCTTGAGCACCCAGGGCGCAGCAAACCTGTTTACAGTTACACTTGAATCAAGAAGCACGTGTAATCAGGCAGTGCCTTCTATCACTGTCGATGTCTTACTTTCTTATTATGCCTTTCTTGCTAATTTTTGTCCGAAATATACCTCATCTCAGTTATAGTTATATCTTAACATGACCTTTACCTCACATGCCCTCAAAATAATGAAAATCGGTGTACTTTAGTTTCTTGAATCTACTGTCAAGAATTGTGTAGTCTTAAAGTTAAAATGAGTGTTTGCCTTGCAAAATTTACTGGTTAAGTAATTTATGCTTTCTTTTTTAGGGAGTGTGTACCATAATGCTTCCTTTCAGCATTGCTTTTTATGTTTAGTTTACTATGGACTTGATATCCATGTAATTCTTAAGTGAAAAATAATCATCAATTTTTGCCAACAACCGCTTTATTTATACCATCCACATTCATATCATCATAAACTGATACTTTTATCTGTAGTAAGTGCAAGAATTAGTGTTCATTTTCACCATTTGGGCATAACTTTGTCTCACACTCCAGTTCAACAATGAATATATACAATATATAGACTATAGGAATGCTTTAGGTCACTAGGATTATTAGTTCAGAAATGTAACAGCTAGTTTGAGTGATATTTTTGTCATTACAGTTTTATATATTTTCAGCTTGTGATGCCTGCCACAGACTAGGGGTATTTTAACTGCTAGATCTCAAATATTAATTTTATTTTTTTAAGTCTTGCCAATAACCACAAATTTAGAATTGCATGATTTCATAGTTATTGGTTTTGTTTAAAAATATTTATGTTTCTAGTTTTCCCTTCCTGCTTTATAATAGGGGGGAAATATTGGAATGGCTACCCCTACAATATCAAGTACTTGGTTATCATGAATTTGCTGTAGGTCATGGACTCTTTTTTCATAGGAATATTTCTAGTGAAATTTGAGAATGTGGATTCATTTTGACTAAGGCATATTGTATTTTTACATTTTTAGGCCAATGAAGAAACTATGAGTAGCCAAGTGGAAGAAAATGAAGATATAGATAAGGTGGCTGCTATTTTGGCTGAGGAGAAAGCCCTTGGTCCACAAGGTGTGGAGGGGCAAGCTGAGCCTGTTGAAGCATCTCCACGTGAAGGATCCCCATCTTCAGAAAGTGAGGATTCCAAAGTAGAAAAGTTTCCAAAAGAAGCAGAGAAAAAGAAATCTGAGCCAAAAAGTGGGAAGAGTAAGAAACGAGAAGATAAAAGCATAGGTACTTAGTCTATTTATTTTTGTTGTGCATGAAAATGTTCCAGTTCAACAAGTCTGATGAAACTTTACCATTCACTTTCTTCTCCTTTATAACTTAAGTGAAAAATGATTTACATACTGCAGTGCACACAGAACTAGCTTGACTGATAGAATAATTGATTGGCATCACATCTTCCTCAGACAAAGTTAACAAATAAGATATCAACAGTGTTTGGTTTGTTGTCATGGTGGCTTGCAAAGTTTGTGCCAACACTGAATTTTCTATGAAAAATGATTCTTTCCAAACCATTTGCAGCATTTATTTTAGAGAGGCATTTGTAAAATGCTCCGATTTCTTACTGAAAATTCATAGTCATAGATCTTCGTTCATCTTATAAACACAACCCTAGATTTAAATTGGTCAGGACTAATTTGAACACACACCCATATTATGTACAGGCTCGATAATTCCTCTCTCCAGATCATGTATTAAAGGCACTGAGCAGCCTTGGGACTCCAGAGGAAAAGTTGGCTGCTCTGTGTAAGAAGTACACTGACATGTATGATGAGAACAGGATACTGCAAAGTACACTGAAGCAAACACAGAGGAAACTGACTGTGGTGAGAACATTTGTTTTTTTTTTTACACAATTTCAATTTCATCTACGGTTTGGTCATACATGTTGCGAAGTTTGTGAGGTTATCTGATGAACAAATGTAGCTGTGATGGGTGAACAAATGTAGATTTGGTTTGTTTCCTAGATAAGTGAACATAATTTAATTTCTAGGAGGAAAGAATTGGCAAGTGCTGCCTTTCAGTATATTTTTCTAATAGCTCGATCACAGAAATAAAAAAAAATAAAGTACCACCCAGGCTTGGTTTTATATTGTGATTAGATTTATGTTATTTATCTGTTAGCTAGACAGCTTTTTACACATATTTAAATCAGTATTAAGATTTCTACATTTTGTTGCAGGGAATGCGAGAAAAAGATCAACTGCAGAGTGAACACAGTAAAGCTGTCCTTGCCAAAAGCAAACTGGAGAGTCTGTGCAGAGAACTTCAAAGGCACAACAAACTCATCAAGGTAATTAGAAAAAAATAAACTAAGCTGCCACAATTATTGACAGATAGGTCATTTGGACTGGTTCTCCAAAAGTTAACTTGTTGAAATATCAATTTCATATAAATTATCCTTGGTTAACTTACTTTTGATTCCACATTTGTAGTATTGTATTTAAAAATGTGCATGATTTTAACAGAATGATATGCAAAATAAAAACGTGCAGCCTTTTGTTCAGACCCCATTGTTAATAACTTCTTTAGGAGGAGAGCCTGGCAAGAGCAAAAGAAGAAGAGGAAAAAAGGAAGGAAGTAACAACAAGGTTTCAGGTAAGTTTGAAATTTGTTTGCCACTGACTTTGTCTTTACAGATTGTCTAGTGTATCACCAAGAAAAAGTAAATTGAGTATACATAAGTCATAAGTCATTTCAGTAATAGATATGCTATATTATATTTCATCCAGACTCTTCTCTATATTATTTTTTTTTCAGACCACCATTAATGAAATACAGACTCAAATGCAAGAAAACCAGGCTAGGAATAACACTTTAAAGGAAGAAAATAGTGAACTTGCCAATAAATTGAAAGGTCTTATAGATCAGTATGAGAAAAGGGAGGAAGTAAGTTGAAATATCTGTTTGATTTTTGATACATTTGCCATTTAGAAAATGTGAGCAGCATCTGAGTCAGTATTTGGTTTACTTAATACCACAGCTGAAAATATATGTGAAGTTTATAGTTTTTCATTATTGAATAGGTTTGTTTTATTCAGATGCATGTCTCAACTTATATAATAGTTATATTTACCAAAACTGTTATTAGAACATATATCTTAATTCATTCTCAGTAAAAGGTTATTTGCTTGTTCATCATTACAGACATTGTATCTTGGTTTTAGCATATAGAAAAGATTTTCAAGCATAAAGATTTGGAGTGTCAGTTGTCAGATGCCAAGCTTCAGCAGCAAACATTACAAACAGCAGAAGAAAAGGAGAGGACCCTGACTGAGAAGAAACTGGTCAGTATCAACAGAAAGCTACTGCAAATTATATCAGCCCTTAAAAACTGATGCTGTAGGTATTAGACCAGGTGTGCTGTTTCTGTTAATGGTGTGTAAGAGAGAGGAGGTTGACTTTTTTTCAGGGCCCCCTTGTAAATTTTGTCTCTGCATCCAGAAATCTGTTAATGTTGACTGTTTGTGGTTTACCAATTAATGGATCCTAGTCAACAGTGCTTTTCTCAATTCTTTGTAATATAATACCATAATGTTCTTTCCCTTTAATTCAAATGTTTTTTTGAAATTTCAACTATGTTAAAGATTATCTTATCCCACAAAGGCAAGAGAATATGCATATGTTTTATAAATTTCAAATCTGAAATTTGTAGTTGCTAACACAGCTGACAGAAGCTCATAAGAAGATTGAATTGTTGGAACAGGCAGAAAGTCACCTTAAGGCTCAGGTACTTCTTACTATTTTATCAGATTTGTTTCACATTTTCCCTGATATAGTGAAATTTTCTTGTCTTGAAACTGAATTATTTTTGTAGCAGCAATCGCAAGTAAGATGAATTGAAGGAAGAGAGGATTTGTAGAGTTCATTGTTTCTTCCTGAGAGAGGAATCATTGGCAAAGTTTGATGTCTCGTTACACAGGTTGATATCAGTGTAAACAAACGCATTAAACAAACGCATTATTTTACTTTATCAGCAATAAAATCTGAACTAAGGCTTTAAAAGAAAGCAGGAGCAGGGTTTAGGAGTACTAAATGGTGTCATTAAATTGACGTTAAATGGTGTTTTTGAGCGATCGGTAAAGGAGAAATTTGAAAAACCAATTTTTCAGTTTTTACCCCAAAATCAAATTATGATGTTACCTGTAAATTTATCTGTTGTCTGTATGTAAGGCAGTAAATAAGAGGTTTTTGGCAAAGGCTAACAATATCCTTCATACACAATAAGCACTAATAAAAATGAATAATGACTATTTATTTTATTTTCAGTTGGCATTGTATACAGAGAAATATGAAGATTTTCAGAGCACATTGACCAAAAGTAATGCAGTGTTTGGGTCTTTTAAAACAGAAATGGATAAGGTAAGGTTGATATGATTAAGATATCTCTGGAAATTTTTATTGTGATAAGGCATGTTGAATATATCCATCCCTTTGAACATTGCTACATAAAAAGTATTTCATGTAGGATATGTGGCTTTCAGCAATTGAAGCTCATTGTGAACAAAAAAGCTTGCCTGACCTTTCACTATTCTAAGAGTGACTAGATGGCATTTTCAAATTAGGAAAAATTGGAGGTTTATCTCATTTCGATTGAAGTACACTGCAGAGAGGACAATTACTGCATGGTCTATATCCGTTGGCCTTTTGCCTTGCTTTTTCCAATTACAACATTAATGTCAATTGTGGTATGTGATGTAATATAGTTCTAATTCCTGGCAGATGGGCAAGAAGATCAAAAAGCTCGAAAAGGAAACAACAATGTGGAAAACAAGATCAGAAAATAGTAACAAAGCACTGCTAGACATGGCAGAGGAGGTAAGATTTAATCAATAGGATCTGATTGAAACTACTTAAATAGTTATCATAATAATTGATTGATTGAACTGTTCCTTTTATATCGATTTATTGTTGTGATGAAAAGAGCCTGGACTTTTAGAAAGACAACGCTCTAAATCTTGGACTTGCATTGAAACATTTTGAGCTGTCATTTTTTAAAATTCCTATAAAAGACATAGTATTTGATTTTGTTCTTTGTGTTTCGTCACATTTTATCATCAGCTGACATAATGACATGTTAGCACTGGGAATTAAGGTGGAGTTATGTGGAGCTTATTGGATATCTTAGGTGGGGTTATTCTAACGTCAAATGATATGGGAAATAAGCTGCTAGTTTCTAAACAGTCAAATTATGTTTTAAAGATGTCTAATGAAATATTGAGACAATCCATAAGTGTGTACAGCAGTCTTGTGACAGTCATGATTAATTTTTGGTTGGCTGTAAATTGGCAGTTCTTATCTTGTAGTGAAAGCTGTATTTTATGCAATCATTGTTCTTGTTGCTATGCAGCTGAAGGCTGGAACAAACAGTGCCTTTAAAAGATGTATTAATAAGAACTTTTTTGTGGAAAAATCATCAAAATATGCTTCATTGGAATACTTTGATATTGTCTCTAAAACTAGGATTTAGGAAAAGCTTTTATGTGTAGCATATTTTTTATTAAATTTTGTTTGTTATACTGCTAACACCTGAGTAGTTTGTGCATACTGCTTTTATAATGATGTTAGAATTTGACTCTTACTGAACATTTGCAGATGTTTTGTTTGTCTGAATGGTGGTGTACATTTTTGTATTGCCAAATATTGTGAGGCAAACCGTATAACTTTATGCAATCAGCCATGTTTTAATTTTTTTTTTTTTTGCCCTAGGCTATTGATGTCACAGAATAGGGAAACATGTTGAGAGCTCAATTCACAAAAAGTATTCTGTATTACCCACACTGAGAACAGCCTAGGCTTTAGACAGAGATCTTTTTGATTTTTAGACTCACATTAAAACATGTTAAGGTAGCATTTTATTCTGTTTTTCAGAAAACACGTTCAGACAAAGAACTGGCGATGCTTCAACAGAAAATCGGTCGTTTGGAGAAGTTGTGTCGTGCACTGCAGGCAGAGAGGAGAGGGGGCCCCAGTGTCACAGTCACAGAATCTGAAGGTAAGCTCACGGTACACTCAAAAGAACAATGTTGGCAGGATATAAATGAAAACAGAATTTTTCTGACCTCACTGACATTTGGTAATAAATAAACCATTTGTCCATCCAATTCTTATACATGTGCTAGAAATAGGACAGTAGGATGTGAGGTATATTCCTGCAGTGTGTTAGTTGGGAAAGAGCAACCAGACTTCAGACTTTACTGGAACTGCTTCCCAAATAGTAGTAATGATTTACATTTATTTATCTGTCCGTGAAAACAGCAATGATGGGCTGGGCTCTCACTTATCTGAAAAACAAGTGGCTTTGGGCTGCTAATGCCCTAGTTATATATAGTTACGTGTATGGAGATATTGTTGTACTATTTTGGTTCACTTGATAGGCGCTAACAAGAGTCATGGTAGCCTAGCTGGTTTATGCAATACAGCTGTGTAGGATGAATAATGAACTATGTAGTTGAGGTATAAAATTTGTACCAATACAGCAAGTGTGGAAGTTTGTGTTTGGGCAGTTGGAATGCTGCAACACATTGAATTTTTTCACTGGCTGAAAATAGGGGATAAAGTTAATGATAGTTTATGAATTATTTTTTGTTTGTAAGTTATTAATTTGGCAGAAAATTGATGAGTTTCTTGGCTATAGCAAAAACAATATTAGTGAAGCTCATGGAATCATATACTTTTACCTTTCTTATCCCAAACATTTGACTCATCCAGATTTAATAATATTTCATGACTCACAAAAACCATTTTTGTCCTAATTTCAAATCAGTTTTTATAAAGAAAACATATTTTAGCTTATACAATTGTTTTTTTTAATTAATAGAAATAAATCATGTATAGACCTTAGCACACCGATGTGTTTGTAATGAAGATGCATAACTTGGGTCACTGTGACATTTTGCCTAATGCATAACAAATTGATTTTTTGTGTCTGGGTTATAATAGCCAAGTGTGGACGGAAAAGATTCACACTCTCTAGTATTATAGGCCAAATCAACATCCTTAGCTTTGCCCCTTGAAAATGACATGAGAGCAACCTGAATACCAGTGGTATACTTCTTAACATTGTTGTTCACAAAAAAGTAGGACAGATTAAATTGTTGTGGAAAATATGGTGCAGTGTTACAGTGTTGTTTATGCATTTCTTATATAAATATCTGTACTTGTACACACTGCTCTTTAAAAAAATGGTCTAACGCTACAAACCTGATCACAGAGTAAGATTACAGTCAATTCAGAATAAGTAACAAGATACGGTCCTGGATGGTGTTTTTAAATATATTATATGAAAAATCATATATATATATATATCAAGAGGTGCACACAAGAAAAAATTTCAATGAAAAAGTTTTGATTTGATGTAAAGGAGAATATGGCTGCAGCATGTAGGGAGGGTTGTCTATCATGTGTAAGAAAAAAGGAAGAGAAATGAGCTTTCAGCTTCAGAAAAGACACTTTTAAGTCTTTTAAAAAAGACACACAGGTGTAGTACTAAGTTGAGTGTTAGAGTCAGTTTTAAAGATTTATTTCATCCATAACTTTCATAAGGAAACTTAATACAAAACTTAAATGCTTAAAAAGGTCCAGCAATGACTGGTGACTGAAGCTGTCAGAAGAGTTGTAAACAATTCTCAGGGTCAGTGGGTCAGGAGGTGATAAGGTCATTTACTTTAGCTGGTCACCTGGCAGCTGCTGAGTATCTTTCACAGGACGTTATTACATTGCTCTCCTCTTGTACTAGATTTCTTTGCTGGAGGGAAAGGGGTGCTGGCATGCACAGTCAGCAATACAACTGTTTTTTTTTTTTTCTTAATGGAGAATATGGGAAAAAAACTTATTTACATGATTTTTAGTGAATTTGTGTGCATTGTAAATTTGAGTCTGGTAGTATCTGTGACTTTTTTTGGTAAAGTGTATTACACCTTTCTTAGTTTTGTCTAGGGATTTTTTTATATTAAATGGGAATCAGCATGAGACAATAATTTGAGAACATGTTCTCGACATTTTAGTTAAAGTAGCTGTGTAAGAAATAATAATGCTTAAAATAAGAGTTATTGAGGAAATATTTCCTACATAGGTAAAGTAAATGACGGCTTTGCTTTGCAGTCAGTATGATGTGAAGTTTTCTTTAAATTCAATTAATATTGCACTTCTAATGGGATATAACATGTATTTTAGACAAAGTTAATACACTGGTCCCTACCAAAATGTCTGTTTACAGTCAATAAATCTGTGTCATTTTTTCATGACAAGCTCACCTTGGGAAGCAAGCCTGATCACTCTGTTATCCCTCTCTATCCCGCCCTATTATCCTACCTACCCCTTTGGAATTGCGTTTAAGGCATGCCATCAAATTGGCTTCCAATGGTGAGCTAATTTACGTTGGGCATAACCTACCTGCTGGGGTACTGAGTTAGGTCAGCCTATCCTGACTAGAAACACAACCTAAGACTTTTTAGGAGGTCATCAGTGTTTAAAAATGAATTTTTATGAGAAATTATTTTTGTTTCTATTTTTGACAAAGAAATGAATAAGAAGGAATATTGCAGAACTTTTGATGTGCTTCCTTTTTTATCTTCACCATATATTAGTGCCATGTTTCTGAGGCGGGCTTGCTGACTTGCAGAGACTGAAAACTTATCTTTTAAAAGGCAGTTTCCCACAGGCCCATTGTGCGTAATGTGCTAAAGTAGAACTTTCCTTACATCACTTTTCATCCTACAGCACCTTCTGACATAAAAGGAACACTTTGTAACTTGTGTATGGCAGGCATTTACTCAAATACAATGTAAATCAATTCTTGTTATATTTATGGAATTAGTGGGCACATTTGGTTTAGTCTTGCCTTGTGGTACACCTTACCTGGTCTTTGAAATACCAAAAAATACTAATTTATTGGTGACTTTGGCTTAGGGCATGAGGAATGGACATGTACCACCTAGGATTTCTAAATGAATTCTTTGCTTCATGTGGCTACATTTTCCAAAATAATTATTAAAAGAAGTTTTGCCTTTATGTGTCTCCCTGAAAACACAGGATATGGCAGTGTTTGTTGGCTCTGTTTACTTGAGCCTAGGAGCATAAATCCTCCAGCAGACTGGTACATCCTGTCAGTTTAATGCTTTGTTTTTTATCAATCTGACATCATTTATTACCGGAGATAGCTTATAGACAGGAAAATAATGATTTCATCGTGAATTACGTCCCTTTCTAACTGTTGCCTAGATTAGTTTTGGCCAAGGCAGCTTTCACATAATCTGTCGCCACGGTCACACTAGGTGCAAATAGATTGGACTCGTATTGATCTAAATGCTGTTGAGGATGATCGTTGAAATTGCGTCCGTGAGCATACAGTGTGTAATCTTTGGAATAAACTTCCAACAGGGGCATAAGAAGTGACAATACAACACATGTCCAGTTTAATTGCAATTAAAATTTTTTAGCCAGTGTTATTCAGACAGATTCAGTCCAGAGCGCAGTGTGGAATGGGCCTATTCTGTTCATTTGAGAATAACTATGCAGGTTGAGTCATCATTTCCCCAGGCACTCGGAGAGAATAGCATCTGTCAGTGTTTTTTTACTGAGAGTGCTGCAAAACAACAACTGTCCTCTGATGTCGGTGCACTAAGTGATAGATGTGCTGCATTATATGTGAACTTTAGCAAGATTTAATAGAGGCATGGTGATAAATCATTTTATGTTGTTGATCAAACTGGATTAAGGTATAGGTGATACTAAGCTATGTAATATTATGGTAGTGACCTCTGCTGTGGCTTCATAAATAAAACAACCATTTTAATACTTGAAACTCTAGTCCTGGAATGACAATTTGACTGTAATCGATGATAGTACATGATACAAGGCGTTTACACTATATAAAGCACTCACAGTCAGGTGCTTTTTTCAATATATGTTATATATAGTATATAGGCTTCTGCATGGGTGATAAATTAGTTATTTTAATTTATTTGTTCTTTGCATAGATATGTGATTATACATGTTTTATGGGTCTTGGACACTGAGTGGTAAAGCTATGTGAATAACATGGTTGTCATTTGCAATGTCAGCTAATTGAGATTTAGGCATTGCCAAATTATTGGATTTTTTTTTTTTTTTCGTGTCCAGAGTAGTGCAAATCCATTAATGCCACCTTTTGGACTGTTCTACTTTTCATTATTATATTATTGTTATGCTTGAAAATTTGTAGACATACTATAGGTAACTTGGCTTGCAGCATCATAATGAGTGTACTAGTAACTGAAATTATTTTGATGTGTTAATTTTTTTTTCAGAATCTTCAAATTACACATTAGATACAACGGAGCATGATATACAACCGACAAAGACACCCCCAAACACCCCTAGTACTCCACAGTCACGAGCTAGCCCCACCAACGTTGAAACTGGCACCTCCAACAACAATAATACGCTGATGGTAAATGGACATCTTGACAACAACATCCAAGGAATGGAAGCTGGAGGAGAAAACAAAGAAGCAGCAACTCCTCCTGATCAACAAACAGATCTGGTCCAATCAGAATCTATGGAACAAGCTACAAATAGTGCAGATTCTTCTGTCATCCAATCAGCTGCTGAAACACAAACATCAGGCTCTAGCAACACTTCAGGTCAGGTTTTGTCAACTGAACAGTCTGTTGCAGCTGACATATAGTAGTCAGACCAGTAGGACTGAGGTATAGCAGCGGAACCCTACTCCAGCATTGCTATAGTATAGCACATGAATATGGAAAAAAATTGCAGCTAATTTTATAAATTGAATTGAAAGACTTGATTAGTTAATGGGTATGTGCAGGGATTGACTGTCAGACTCAAGCATGCTTTCAGTTGGATTGTTTTTGTTTATTTATAACCTAAGTTTGTTTACCAAGAATAGTTAAATGAGTATAAGCTTGTCAAGGTTAGACTGATAAATGGGTAAATAGGAGCCCATATTTGATCTGTCTGAGTATGATGATTCATAGTCCTGTGTCTTACTTGCCTCGGCCTGTCTATTCTGATACTGGGCAAGGTGTTGAATGCTTTCACATTTATCCTCCTCTGTGTTGATGTGGATTGTGTTCCTATTTCCATCTTTTATATGTGCCAGAGCCCCCCTCCCCCCTTTTTCACTTTTGACTTGTCAACAGAGTTCAGTTTTTATTATCATATTTAATACAAGTGTACCGAATTATGCATACAGTGAAACATATCATATGCAAACATTGTCATGTTCCATATAAGGGATGGTGTTAATGGTTGATGAGTATAAAAAAGCACCTATGCGTGTAATCATTGACTACATGAGCTGAATCATGTAGCACACCTTATAGACCATGTTAGAAATCAGCTGGTGCCAGTGACACATCTGGTTGTACTCCCAGACCCTTGATTTTATCTGCAGGAAAGTTATATTTGTGCACAAGTAAAAAGCTTTGGTGGTATATGCATGCATACCTTTTGAAACAAGCAGGCAGTGTAATTCTGTACTCCTAGTAGCTTCTAGAAAATAAATACCATTTTCAAATTGATCTTATAAAGCTGTTGTTTTTGAGGCAGTAGGTCAAATTTGCAGCAGTAAACTATTGTTGAAATTTGGCATGCAGCCAACGTATGCAATTGGAGCCCTGGACGTGTCTCATATCCCAAGCGAATTATGGGTTTGCTGGAAGGAAGTTTCCTCTAAAGCCTACATTAAGTGTGAACATACTGGTAGACATGATAAAAGCTGATACATTATGTTGGTCAGAATCCCACTTTATAGACATCCTAGTTGATAATTATTTTTGTAGCAGCCTTGATATTAAACAATAGGTCATAATCATGAAATCTGAAAAAAACAAAAAAACAAACAAACATATAAATCTTAAAATATTACATAGTTTTGAACCTTTTCAAAAAATTTCACGTATCAATTTACACAATTTTCTAGAGTAATGAATGTATTTGTGCTCTGTATAATTAACAACTTTTAAGGTTGTTTTTGATGGTAATGTGCAGTTGCTCCACAGGTAGTAAAGTCATTAGATGCCTATTTTTGTAGAAAGGTTTTATAGGTCTTCCTCTTTTAACCCATCTGTGGGCTTGTGCTAAATTGCTTTAACTGTGTTCTGGTAAGAGTTTGGGGTAGATGTGCTGTCTTATCTTTGATTCTAACATAATACTGCCTCAGAGTGAATGATTTAAGTGAAATCACCGGATATTCATCTTCATAAGCCATTCACTGAAAAGTGTTATCAAATTTAATCTTAACCACCTATTGCTGTGTAGGCACTTCCCATCTCTTATATCTTCTTATAATGCCACTTACTTTTATATGATATAATATAATCCCTCATTTCAGCTTTGCATAATGTGCACTGAGGCTATTGAACAGTTAACTTTACATGTGCAACATGTGCTAGAAAGAATATCAATTTTTCATCCTGTCATGTTAAAGTACTTGTACCCATCAACACACTTAACCCAGATTTGTAATGGCTAATAATATATCCATTGTATATCAACAATAAAGGCCTTGGCTCAGTCAGGCGTGGTACCTGCTGCAATGGGAAGTGCTGTTCTGCTATGTTGCCAGTTAAGCTTGTCTACGTGCCTAACTGCCATGTAAAGGAGGCTTTTAGAAAATGTTCCCAACCCAAATACACAATAGTATATACCTGAGTCATACAAACATTTGTATGCCCAAATTAGCTTCCTTGCTAGTGCTGGTATTGATTAAAATGATCGAGTTTGATAAATAAGTATTGTGTTTTAATGAAAATATCCTGTTTTGATAATTTAAGTAAGATATATTTGGGTCAACAATATAAGCTGTCATCTCTAGCAAAATGTGAGTGCACATATCAAGGTTTTCACCAACATATTAATCTCCATCATCTGATATGGGCACATGTTGAAAATTATTTGAGGAAATAATGCAAAGGACCTTGCAAGCTCCCAGATTATCTAATATTATTGGTTGTATGGGAACTGCTAAAGGAAACATGAATGTCTAAAAAACAGTGTACAAAACAGGAATTTGAAACTGTTTATCATGCTGAAGCACATGCAACTGGTAGACGCACATTGCCAGGATCCCAGTGCTTCTCATAGTTCACAACACCTCAAATTCTATGACCTGTATGTAATAGAAGTTTTACGTGGAGTAAGAGGTAGAATTCTTTAGTCCAAAATTGGTGACCCATGTGCAACGTATGGTAAACTGTTTACAGAAGGGCATTTTGGCAATGGACATAACCTTTCTTCCGAATTTAAACGGGAGACCTTAGCTGCATAATTTATAAAACCATCTGCATAGAAAGTAGGTCAAAATAATATATTCAATCTGCTGGATTCATCGATTTATTCTGCTGGAATAAAGAGGGTCAGGTTAATCCAACTATATAGTTGGCTCTCTGCCACATTTTGTTGCCATGACCCAAATCAATTAAAGTTATTTTTGCTTCAACCAGGTGAGATGACAAATAGTTTCGTTTCATTCCCTCCTAGCTGAATGTACCCCACCATGCTTCTGAAGTATTTTTTCCTGTATTATTTTTCACGTAAACACAATGCAGGCTTATTTCAACATTACAGTCATGGTTTTCCCTGTTGAAAATACTTTCACTTTCTTCACACGCATGTTTACAAAAACAAAACAGTATTCCAAATTCTTGATTTTATTTCAAACTAAAAAGCACTGAAAGTGGACAGCCCTCCGTCAAGTCAGCTCAGTTCTCATTGCTAACCTATTAATTTATTAATGGATCACCATCAAAATCTGATCAATTAAGGTAGCCCATTTCTGAACTATTGTGAAAATCTTATCAATATCCACCTATACCTTCATGAATTAGTCTGTTAAATAACAAACCAACATAGTCTTGGCAGAGGTAAGAGGAAAAAATAGACAAAGTACAAGTAGTTCTAATAATACTAAATAGTCACTGGTCTCTCACTGGCTTTCCTTTTTGTTTTTCAGAAATATATAATTATAGTAAAATATTTAACATTCAAAATAATAAATTTTCAGATTACAGTTTTGAAAATTTCAAATATAACATCATTTAATCACTTCTTTCCAAGGCTCATTCTAGCATATTTTATTTATGTCATGAGAAAGAGCTCGTGTTAAAAAAATTTAAATGTATTGTGTAGCTTACAATGATGTGACAGTGTAAGCCTTCTGCTTGTCTTGAAACTACCAAAATCTCATTAATATGTATACAAACATTTACATAACTGTTTCTAAATTAAATATTATATTTGTAGAGAAATATGTACTAATTACATTTACCTACACAGCTTTGTACTAAGTGCAACCTTAGCTGTCAAACAAAACATCAAACCAGTCCAAGGTTGCAGTCTCCTTCATGGTACAAAGTAAATAGTAATGTTGAAAACAAAAGACAAAGCAGCAACACTGCAATTGATAACCCATGCCACAGCGCAATCAAAATCTGCCAGTTTGAAAAGCTTCAGGTTACATTGTACAGTTTATGTTTTAGTCAGCAATGAAGCAAACACCCTGTTATCCACTAATCAAAACATATCATGGGGAATTTTTTCAGTGCTTCTTTGACTGCTGCTTTTACATTTTGTTAAATAAAAAGTACCTAATCCACCGCTCTTCCTATTTCTAGAACATTAATCAAAACATATCATGGGGAATTTTTTCAGTGCTTCTTTGACTGCTGCTTTTACATTTTGTTAAATAAAAAGTACCTAATCCACCGCTCTTCCTATTTCTAGAACAATTACAGAAAAGGCACATTTTAAGCAATCACACAGCTTTCCACAATCGATAAGGAAAAAAAGAAGATACAAAAATGTACATTTGTTGAAAAAAACAACATGAAGAGATGTAGTCTCTTCTGACAAAATATTTTAAAAATTCAAGACTACTCCCAACAAAATGACCAAACAACTGCTTACATGATCTAGGGTCCAAATCAGGCACAGTATAAGCTTCTTTGATCTGATCTGACCCATATAACAGATGAAAACAATTCAACTGAAAGGTATTGTTTCAGACTATAAATCATGACACCTGCGAAAAGTCAAAAAGTAAATTACCAGCTTAATATATACATGGTTTAAGAGGAAACGTTCCTCCAATACTACGTTTGCAAAAAAAAAAATTAAAAAAGGCCAAATATAGCCACACTTGTACGTGTGTGTCTACACAGTGGAATCTGACACAGTAAAGCTGAATTTGCATAAGTATGTAAATAATTTAGCAAACAATTACTATATATTTGTGCTGCCTGTTGAGAGACAAAGTAATCAGGATCATTATTTACACAGCAATCTAAGCTAATGGTTTATAATGCTGGCCTTTTTAAAGCAGATCTATCCAAGGTTTCCTTTCAAGACTTCATTTGCTAAATCTTCCATTTAAAACACATGATGGACTTCACAAATGATACTATATTATACCTAGCAGCTAGCTTAGGATAGCTTTGGGAAACTTTACACCTGGAATCCTAGTAAAAGTTGTCATCGAGTTTATCAAATGATAGTGAAAAATCTTGACAGAGTTTCACCATACAATTTTTGAAATGATGATTTTAAAGTTTCTTTCATCATTTGCATAGCTTACACCATATTTGTAATCTTTACCACCTTTACAATAACCATTGAGAAAAAAAGTTCAAAACTGCAAGCTTAAACACAAGCTCGAGGGGTTATAAAAATGCTGTGGTAAATGTTCATCTGTTGCATATCTGCACAGGTAAAAATACAAGAAAAAATAGCCTACCTTACATATATCTTATATGCTGACACAGGATGTTTTGTATATATCAAATTAATGACTCTAGTTTAATCAACAGTTCCATATAGTTTGCTGCTTTGCCAGGAAGCATTCCTGAAGTGGTTTGACAAAATGGTAATCTTGGTTCTTACATGCTGGGCATGATATACTGCGGCTGTACTGACTGTAGAACTGCAGCCCTCCTGTGGAAGCATCTAGGATGATACGACGACACGATTTGCATGTCAGGCGCATTTGGCAGCATGGCATGGCAGCAAATATGTCGTAGGAATACATGCCCCCTAGCAGTAGGGTGTTACCATACCAACGCTTGCGGCATGCACAGCAACGAAGCTCACATCCTCCCTCTAGGCAGCTCATACATGCTGCATTCAAGTATTGCACTCGACCATCTGCTTCTACTTTTATATCGTTATTGTATCGCAGTGGAGACAAGAAGAAAGTGCCATCAATGAGAGGGTAACGATCAAACACAGGCAGATCACTTCCACATAACACACATGGCACAGAGGTACACTTGTATGTACTTAGGTTGGCCAGTATGAAGCAGCGCATGTCATCATTCCCATGGGGGCCTTCATCTTCCATTTTGATGTGATAGGGGTTTTGCTGGTAACGGGGAAGCGTGTTGAACGCTGTCAAGTCTGGGCGACGTTTGAAGATGTTCCCCGTGGCTGCCTGACCAGGGTCGGCAAACATGTTGTCCAACCGAGGACTGACCACTTTCTTGAGGATGTTATTGTTGACATGATTGGTGTTGTTGTTGTTGCTGCTCCCTGTGAACAGGACTGGAGGAGTGGAGGAGAGAGGAGGACTGGAGGAGGTGGGAGAGATTGACCCTGTGCTGCCTAGGCTTCCAGCACGTATACGTACATGTAAATTTGGTTTGTTGGTATGATGGCCATATCCACCATTGCCATTGCTACCTCCACCAACATTGGCATTGCTGCTGTTGCAATGATGTTGTTGAAGCTTGCTGGAATTGTTGATAACTGGTAGGGCCTTGTCCGTTTTCTTCTTGTGTTTCTTTTGCTTCTGGGCTGTGTTGGTTTTGGGTATATAATTCAAGTCCTTGCGGAGATGCCCTTTGCCACATTTACAATCACAAGCCTTGAATGCAAGATCATAACCTTTCTTGGTCCACAGATTTTGCAAGCGCTGCTTTTCGCTCCAGCTTCTTGCTCTTCCACATGAGCGCAGGAAAGACAACACTGTCTCCTCCCAGGCATCAAAACACTCTCTGTGCATCCAATTCCCATAGGAACACTGGTCATTGTTGCACTCGACCCTTACAGCATCACCGGGATCATTAACGTTAATTGCCTCCTCTA